ATTACAATAATGAAGAAACATTTTTTTCTAAATGAAGTATCTATCTATTTAGCGTTTTTTACAGCCTTGGGAATTTTCCACATTCCAATTTCAATGCCTTTTTATCCCATAGGTCGTTTTCCTCCATTTCTCTTTTTTCCATGGCTTCAGTTATTGCCGTGCTCTATGTTCTTCTCGGTCTTTCCCCGTATCTTCGTCGATTGAGTATCCATTTCCAAACTGATTGTCGAAGTCATCCGATTTCAACCTTCTCATATGTCCACACAATTATTTTTTTTTAAATTTCGACCATCTCGTTCTAGGTTGTTTGCAGTTTCATCTTATTTCTTATTTAATCATTTCTAATTTTGTCTAACAGAAATGTTTACACCTTCGCCAGAACATAATTTTGTTGCTTGAAGTTTTTCTTTCATTTTATTTGTTAGTGTCTAGACTTCAGCCCCATAGACTGTTGAACTCTCTATGAAGGAGCTATATATGCTCTTCTTTGACTTCATTGAGGTAATAGAGTTCCCCAGCACTGGTCTCTAAATCATGGGGCATACCTCCCACCACCAATGTATTCAGCCTTTTGTAAATTTATTATATACAAGTACAAAATTAATTACGCGAGTAATAAGTTAATAAGGAACCGAGGAAGCGATTATGAAAGTATTACAAGAGAAAGTGTGTCGTGATAGAACTATGACTAGAGTGATGGAATAGAATGGGCACGCATATTGACACATAAAGGGAAATTGAATGTCACTTTTACTTTCTCGCCTTACTACATACTAATTAGAGATGGTATTGCAATGCTGCGGCGGAAATCGACGATTTTTCGGTGGAAAACCTCTTATTGCCAGGCCCTAGCAAAGGAAAAATGGATAAATCTAGTTGCTATATGTAAAGAACGTCCTCTAACTCATTGTGAAAACAGAATCCATGTTTTGTGAATCCTTGATAAAAAAAATCGTCTGGTCGTCCATGGTGTTAATGCTAGCGCCTAAACCTTTCAATCGATTTCCCCCAAAAACATTCCACGATTGATCTAAACAAACTCACAGCCCTGCGAGTTTCAAACGGACATTTAATTCAGGGTGGTTCTTTTCATGAAAGCTATACATTTTCAAAATTTTATTAAAAATTGTTCAACTTTTTCTTTATTTAACATTGTTCTGATAATGTAAAGAACGTTGAAAAATGGCGCAGATTTTTGGTTTTGGAAAACTCCAAAAGTTCAAATGTTTTCAGCTTCTTCCTGCAATATTGAAAACATACATTTTCTAACACGAAATCTGCTGATAAAAGAGATCTGAAAATAATGTCAGGTACAACGGCTGAAATCGACTTACTGCAGCTATCTAGCTAATGTCGATAACACTTCACTCTCGAAACTGGAACGCGACATCTGTTGCCCTGACCCATTTTAACCGATAGATGAATAGGGTAGGAGATTAGTTCAGTGCTTGGGAATCCAAATTATCGGATAGGAATCTGAGCCCAGGCAAATATGTTTGCGAGGTCAAGTATTATAATATTACGTATCAACGTCTAGTTTTTCAAATGTTGCCAATCTTGCGCTTTTAAAAATTTTATTACGATTTATTTTGTTTGTGTTATTTTTTAAGCTTTTATTCATTTTTAAATTATTTATAGTTAAATTTTGAGAAGGGAATCTGGTGCTCAAGAAAATGTGCCCAGATCTCCTTCCCCGTACAGTTTTAGTGACTAAATAAATAAAATACGTGACCGTGGCACCAGCAAGTGCTGTTTTAGCACCACTAGGTTTTCCTTGTTTCTATTACAATTTATTAAAATTATCGTAATTGTATTAACATTAACTTTAATATAATTGCCGTATGATCTTTGTACTATGAGTAATTAACAGCATACCTTAAATCAAAAGATGAGTCACACTTCTTATCTAAAATCAGTCTTGCCATGATTTCCCCTCCATTTAAGGACAAACTCTTTATCATTTGAAACTTCCCAGAGTTCCAGCTTAACGGAATCAAGAATACAAAATATTATATTATCATAATTTGTTATTCATGAGCAATGCCTTCTCTGTTGAAAATGATCGGCAAATCGGCGTTCAGATCGGCAAAATAATGATGTATTACGTTAAGTCAAATAACAGTTGCTTCCGAAATTTTGTATGTACACATCCTCTCGGATAGACATTTTGAAAGATGGATCTTAACATGCACAATACCTTTTCGTAAAATTGACCTTCTGGGTTTAGAGTGATCTTTGATAACTCTAAACAGAGTTACCTCTGATAGCTAGTTAGCAAAGCGAGTTATCTCTGATAACTCTAGTAACTACTCGTAAAACATTATCAATGAAAAATCAAATTCCATATCATGGATTTTGCACACCAAACTTTCGTAGCTAATAAACTCACTTTCTTGCTAATAAATTATAAAGAACAACAGAATGTGCTGATCAATGACATTTAACGAATTTTTCATTCAATAAAGTAAAATGTTCTGATTGTAAAATTTTTTACTGGTGGACATTCGTTCTAAAAAATCAGACCTTTCATTAGAACGAAATGTTTTATCGTATTAATCGGAAAGGCGAGCAAATTAGCCCATGTGGACGATACAATCAATACGACTACATTGACGTATTAAAAGCAGTAAACATTCTGTTTGTGAGTGTTGTTCGTGATGATTTTCTCGTGGCAGTTTCTCTGTACTTTTTACTGTCTGTATTTAATCGTCCTAATCATTACACGTTTTCTTGTTTATAAATAAGTCAAGGAAACAATAAGTAGCAAAACTTTTTATTTCGTTAATGATAATTATTTATTTAACGTCAAAATACAGTTTAATACGAGAATTTGGACGATGAAAAGCTACCTTTATTGTGCAAAGCAAAGAACTATCTCAGCATTTGCTTAATGAATTAAAGGAAATAATAGGACGAAAAACCTGATCGAGATTGTGGTAATTAATTACGATCAGCTGATTAAATACTTGTTTCATACAAATTAAATGTTTTTCTATTACGTAATATTCAATCTTATCGAATTAAAATATAGAAGGTATACAATCGAATAAAATATAGAAGGTAACTAACCTCTTAGTATCGTATTATATAGTGCTCAAAGAAAATGTCTTCGCACTTTCGCACTGAGAAGAGTCAGGGACTCGTGTTAACATTTGCATTTGTATTGGTAGCAGCCAGATCACGCAACAAATGAACGGGACAACACTTCCAGCATCTGTTACGATTGTGGTCAGTACGCAATTTACTTTTTTTTGTATTCCAGCATTATACAAGAACCTTTTCTGTTGCAAGAAATCATTCATAATCGGGCATTTTACGGCACAAATGAGGACGTATTAAATTTTCGGCCACGAATAATTGTGTCATCACACATTCAGCCAATCGTAGTGAGAGAATCGAGGGGAGGTAAGAGTTAAACGGAACAGCCGACCACCGTTTACACGCACGATGGCAAATACCCGAGACGTCACAGAGAAGTTGTTTAGCAAAATTAAGTTTGATTCTCTTATAAATGTATAATGCTGATATACAAAAAAATATAGTATGCAACTCGTTTATAATGTTGCTTTATTACATTCGTACAAATTTGTACGTTTTCAAAACATGTACTCATGCAATAAAGCTTAACATTATAAACTAATTGCATAAACTACTATTTACAAGCTGGAGGTCGTGCAACCAACAATTTCTGTTGCTAGCACTCTCACCAGCAAGATGTCACTGCGGGGAGACTTTCCTGGCTGTATTATGTTACGAGTGTCAGTCAAAGAAAACGTGATTTTTTCCTAAGCAAAAGATTTTAATTTCTTTAAATTCCCTCCGCCAGTGTTTAAGCAACAGACATACCTGTCCACAATTTGTATTCCTTGTTTAGTAGTCTTTTTTCGCTGGTGGGACCACTAAATTGTCAGTTTCAGTTTCATTGTAAGTTTCAGACTAGAGATACAGTTGGTATTTTCCCTTACCTGAGAATTTATTTTTGTTTATTTATAATATGTGTAGTATGTTTTGTATATTATGGATATATACAATCTTGACACATGGAAAAACTCGGCAATTAGTAAATAGTAATTGTTTGAAACGTGAAAATTGATTTAAGTAGAACTCACCTGCGAGCGGCCATCTCCCGAACTGTATTTTACAGTGTTATGGGACCAGTTCTGTTCAAGAGAAACCACTCCACTATTGCCGAGTGTTGAGGTTAAAATGCACAGAAAAGCAAATAGTCCCTTTAATTTTATTATTAAAGATAATTTCAGTATTTTTTTCAATTTCATTTTACATTGATTTCGGGTTCTAACCATGCTACGGAGTCAGGACACCTACAAGAACTAAACGTGCAAAATTGTAAAAGAAAGAAACGGTCTTATTTTGTAGAATACTGACTAAGAACATAATCCGCGCCCAACCTGCCCCCCTTCATTTCCTCACATATCCCTTACTTTACCTACACCTGCCCTCGAACTGTTGATGTATTAGTTTTTAATGATTTAGTTTTCTCAAGCAATGCGCTGTGAGGGGTAGTTTTTACAAGTGATGGCTGAAATGTTTCAATACGAAGAGAAATTGCGGTATTATATTACGCATCTGTTAATAAGGACAAGAAAATACAGCTATTGATACACCACTAGTTTAAATATTAGTTCTGTTTTCTTTGCAGCTTTTTAAAATTCACTAGATTATTTCTCGCTTCACTTCGACATATTTTACTATGTAAATTAAATGTCAATTTTTGATTTCACAGATTTCACCGCCATGTTTATCGAGGCCACAAATTCCATAACAACAAATCCAGGGAAATAACGAATAACGATTAAGCATGACTGCTGAATCGCCTTTCTCCCGATGTAATTAACGCACCCTAAGAAGTTTCACCTCAAAAAATGAAGGTGATATTTAATTTCTGTGTTATTCGCATTTTTGTGTTATTGTTGTACATCGACACCACGTTGACAACGCCGGTGCATAAACTGATCAAAGATGTTTTGGAAACTCTCGAAATGGATATAAACCCAGATGTAAAAGATCATCAGACTAATTTAAAGAAGAATGAGACAATTGATATGAGCGTAACAATTGGATTACACCGAAATAGATATTCAAAAGATTGGTGCAGACGTGAAAAAATACCTAACGTTCGTCACGGAGCCATTTTGCATTTGATTATAGTAGGTGCAAATCTCAAGTGCGAACCTGTGATGATCAAAACCGTAGTTCGTAACGGATCTCGAGTGATGGGAGGGGGTTACAAGAGACTTGCAGATGGTGAATTGGATATTTATATGGAACCTGTCTACGATCGTTTAATATTTCAAAACATAAGCTTCCTGTATCCTCACGAGAAAGCCGATGTGTGTTTGTCTGTCCGTAGGAGTCCTCTAGTTCATCGTAGCGTATTGTTATCTATGTCTCAATACATCTGGTTGTCCACGGCCGTGTGCGTGGGGATATTCGTTGCTGGGGCTAGGATTGGAATTAACCTAAGTGTGGGCCTCGCTGTTTTACATGTGGTGCGTGCACTTATTACTGGAGCATTCGAACCCAGGCTGCGTTGTCTGATGGTGTGGATGTCTCTGCTAAGCTTCTTTTTATGGAACTCCATTGGTGGATCGTTCACAGGTAAGCGTGACAATAATTTGCTACGCGAATCATTTTGGGCGTTACGAAACATTTCACTCAAGGCCTCAAATACATCGAAACAATATTTATTAAGTTCGGTAGAGTGAACCCAGGAGACGTATATGGTTCCCATTCCAGAGTTTGGCGCACCACATACATTGCATTAATTCTGAAACATACTAACCCACGAATCGTTGTACACGCAGTATTCTGGTGGTATTACAGATTGCTCCTGTGAATAGAGATTACTTTACTTCGATTATTTTATAGTGGCATATGATATGAGGTTTTTGTTACACCTCCTGTCTTATAATGTGAATATTTTTAATTAATTCACGAACCTTTTTCTCAAGGGAGTGCGTGGTGTCAGAAATGCGCTTACCACTATAAAACAAGATTAGTTTTATAAGGCAGGAGGTATAACAATGACTTAATGTCATCGGCCACTACAGAAAAATCGAAATATAATATAGATTGCGCCTGAGAGAAAACGCTGAACTTGTACATAATGGCCCGTCGTTTCGGCGATCATAATTTCCGGGCCCATATCAGTTTAGAAAGTTTGTAGATTTCTAAATGAGTATGTTCAGTTTACTGCCTCTAGTAAAATAGGTTATTTTTAGGGCATGCACGGCGTGCAAAAGTTCAATTTTTAGCTCTAGATGCAAAAGTGAGACGATGCTCAAATATTCAGAACATATACGTTCGTCTGACTGCATCAGCTACTACGGATGTTAATGGTACATAATTAAGTAATTTGCATACTTGAATTGAAATAAAATGTAAGTTAGTGAAGTTGTCAAAAAAATAGTGTGACACACGTGGTAAATATGATTTTATTTTGAGAGCGTAGGCTTCCACGACTAGAGTCAGTAACTACTTGGCTGTCCGGAAAGGCGGCAGGACCAGATGCCGACGTTTCGGTCGCCATTACGCGACCTTCGCCCGCCATTGCGCTCATTTCGCCCTGAGGAAGGTCTTCCGAGCAGCCAAGTAGCTATTGATTTTATTTTGCTTGTAGGATTACGCCGATCGGTCTAACGGCTTCGTGCCGCAACTTTTCTTACTCGCAAAACGAAATGACACTTTTCCCACTCGTATCATAAGTAACCATTTCTAAATCTTTTTTTTCCCCTCGCAGGATTTACCGTCTCCCCCAGTCGGCTGGGGCAGCTGAACACGCTGAAAGACGTGAACGCCCGTGTTCAAATCGTACACGTCCCGAAGTGGTTTAAATCTCAAATCGAACACGTCTCCGGCTTCGGCGGCACGTTGGCGCTGCTGATGGGGAAGTTGACAACTCAAACTCTTCCTACGGATTTCGATTCCTGGGCCGGGAGGGCACTCCTGGCTCCTGCGTTCTCCCTGACCTTGTCCGAGAGGCAGCTGTGCGCCGCCATGGGGCGCTGCGTAGTGTTCCATCGCGTCCGACAGTGCGTGTTGTCCCCAACGTACATGTCGTTCGCCATCAGAAGGGAGTGGCCACTCGCGGACAGGTTTAGCAACTGGCTGCAGAGGGTCGTGGAAGCGGGACTGGCCGACAAAGCCGTCGATGCGGAGATGCGGTATGGACTCCGAAGTGCTTACTTTCAGTGCCGAACCGGAAACGCACAGGAGGTTCCAGAGGCCGCGCGCATTTTGAAGTTGGCGGATGTTTGTGAGACATTTTGGCTCTGGACGGTTGGGACGTGTGTGGCCGTGGTCGCGTTTTGCGGAGAGAAATGGCGATGTGTTTTGCGTTGTTCGAGGACTTCGAGTGGAAGTGAAGGACGGAGTTCGGCTAAGTCCTCTTTTTGCGTTTTCCAGAAATCGCGGAAAAAGTTTCTTTCTTTGTAGCAGTAAGAATGTTACCAATATTCACTGAACAAAATATCAATCATATAGTTTATGTAAACTATTTGCTTTCATCACAATATCAGGAATGATTTGAAATTCATATACATTTAGCAATAACTTAATATAAGCTAGATGGTGAAATGAATTTTAAAAGTGTACTCCAACAAAAGGGATTAAATTGCATGTACAAAACGTCTTTGATTAGTAATTTGGAATTATTTTATTTAATTTTTAGACAATTTATAATAATGATTTCTTAACTTACGTTTGATTTTGAAATAAGTTCAATGATATTCTTTTATGTTTTCTCGGATATACAGTTTCCGGATATGCACGAACCGACTGTACTTAATTTGCTCTATTTAATTTCTCGAAAAGTGTTCTCTCTATTTACGTGATTTCAGAAAGAAGCAACAAATTTATTTTTTTTCCGAATTTTTCACCCAATTTCTCTATCCAGGCACCGTTTTGTTTAGCGTCTATCTCCGAAACAATTAGTCGGTTTGGATTCTGGATTGCTCCATTTAATTTCTCGTAAAGTGTTCTCTATACATACGTGATTTCAGAAAAGCGGCGATATTAATGTTTTTCAACCTTTTTTACCCAATTTCTTAACTTCGCACCGTTTTTGTTTACCGCGTCTATCTTTGAAACAATTAGCTGCAATGGAGTCTGGTTAGCTCCATTCAATTTCTCCCTATATACGTGATTTCAGATAGAAGGGACGAAATTAATTTTTTCCCTAATTTTCCACCCAAATTTCTCAATTTGGCCACCATTTTGTTTTGCAAACCTGACTAAACTAATTAGTCAGGTTTGCTCCATTAAATTTCTTGTAATTAAACTTTTGTATCGAATTTAATCGTTTAATGTCATCTGGCAAGGTGTAAAATAATGTACATGTATTGTTTGTGAATTTTCTGTAGTGAAGTTTTGATACTGTCGTCTGATGAATATGATTACTGCGTCAAGTGTTATAGTTATAGACATTAGCGTTTGCTGAAAATATACTCCCCCCTTATGTAAGTAAGTAATCTTTGTCAAAAACTACTGAGTCATATATCAAGAGACAAGGTGATGATAAAATACCTAGATTTATAAAGAGAGACTTACATGAATCACGTGGGTGGGATTTGTTATGATTCGTACAATTCGTTTTTGTAATCTAAACGTTTGGGAGCTGTAAGATGTATTTCTCAGAATATTATCCCATATCTCAGGCATTGAAAAACAACTGAATTAAACTGAACATTAAAACAACTGCTTGAATTTATATTACCTAATAACTACCATATTTGAAACCACAATTCGAAAATTCATCTAAATGGGCCTAATATTTAATTTTTAGTCTACCGATTATTTTGAGAATTAACATCTGAGTTAACATCTAGTTAATTAGTAAACGAGTAAATCGGAATAAATAAAATGGTAAAAAATAAAATTATTTATGTACCACGAGCATTAATTGGTTCTAATGACTTAAGACGACAAAACGCCCTCGCACCAAAGGCCCTTGGGCGTTTTGTAACTGCTCGGTCATTAGAACCCTTATAACGCACTTGTGGCATAAATAACTATTAAAACAACTGAATGAGTTTTTATAGTTTACTCATTAATTACCATATAAAATCGTAGTTATTTTGAAAGCATAGACAGATAATTCAATTTTATCAATTTAGATTGACGCTAAATAAAGCAAATGCTTCTAAAAAGGCTACACGCAGGGTCAAATCTCCTTCGGGATCTACTCAGGTTGAAGAGATAGCCGTCTGTAATCTCGCCGGCAGAGATAGCGGTCTGTCGGAATTTTCAAGGCCGCCGCGGTCGACCTCGGAGGCAACAGCTGGTCGTTAACACCAGTTTCCCACTCGCCCCGCAAGATTGCGCAACATTGCGCAACATTGCGCACTGCCCTTCCTTCCCGTGCTGTCAACACTCTCCCAGGCGTCCCGTCCTAGCAAGAGAACAGGAGAGGGGAACACTCTTCTCTTAAAAGCGGAATACGTCAGAGTTTTCGGAACACAGTGTTTACTGGCAGCCCGCGTTCTCAGCTCGCATTAGTGGAGAATTCACAGCTGTTGAAGGAGCTGTCTCGAACTACGGGTCTGTTTGGAACACCTATATAACTGCAGTGACTTTTGTTTGTAGTTAGATCTTTGGATTTGCGGGCGGAGTTTCTTCTCTGAGGCAGGTGACAGCAAAAGACAACGCCGACTACGACAAGGTGAGTTCAGTACTTTGTAGAAACTACCAAAGGTATAGAGTTTTCGATAAAAAAGTGGTCAGTGAATTCGGAAATCTTTAAATTTTTAAAATATAAGAACCTGAAATATCCTGACGAAGTCTGCGGATTCAATTTAGAAATCTGGATATTATTTACTGTTTGTTTACATTTCATTAATTATTGACACATAGTCAGAAATTTCTAATGCACAACCTAAATTTACATAATAATTTTCATTGGAAATATCCATCTTCGGACGTGCTTTTTTAAAAACAGTATTTGATACTTATAAGTAATGGCTAAAAAAACAGAGTTTCATATCCTATCTAGTAAAAAATATTAAATAGATAAATTTAACAGAAATCGCCGGCTGATATATATCTCAAAATACGCGTTTGAACTCGGTGATATTCGCCGATCGTAGGATATATTACATTTATAGTGTGAAAAGGAAAGCACGAGTTGGAGATCATACTGAACAATAATTCAACACAGCCTGAATAAAAATTAAAATGAAAAAATGTAAAGCCTGTTGTACAGAATGAGATTTTTCATTTAACGAGTTTTATGAAACACACACAAAATGTTTGAAAAAAAGGTTCATAAAATTTGTTGTACCTATAAATTTTTCGTAAACTTGTTTGGCTCGTTATCTGAGGGAAATAGAGTGTACTAAATAGTGTGAGGAGTTTGTGCACTCTCGAACGTTAAAGCAACCGAAAATACTGCGCATGCGCAGTTCAAGTTTCGTATCATTTTCATGAATCTGCCCATGCCCAGAATATCGAGATTGCTGTCGACTGCTGCCCGCTAAGGCGTGTCACAAACTCTCTGTTTCGGCTTCTTGTTTTGTACTATCATTATGATTAATACAAAGGGACGTCGATATTTTGCAAGTGAGGGTACTTTTGATATTCATGTGGAAGCGCTTTTCCCTCAACCACAGACAACCACCATTTTTGTCATTTCGAGGCTCGTTTGCTCATTCTATTTGCAGAAAACTAACCTAACATACGCCCGGACGCAAATTTGGAGCTTCGGTGTTCTCTCTCCAGTAGCATTGCTCACGACGACATTCGCAATTGCTGATAGGTGGTTGTGTAAAGTTTTAATGAAAATAGGACATGTTCTGTTTTATAAAACTCCGAATGTTACCACGTGAAAACCAGTCTTTATTAAATGCATGTTTTACTAAACAATTTTACAAAATGTATCACCGTGTAAAACAGGTACAAAGCGAACTTCAAAATCTGAACAAGCTTCATAAAAAATAACTTGGAATAATGGTCAGTCTTTCGATTCTACAATGATCTGTTGGTGGCATTTTTTTTAAAGAATGCAATGTGTAATTTAGTAAATGTAGATTAAATTATTACCATGTTCATTTACTTCAATTTTCTCCGGTTTGTTGAGGGAGTCCTTTGTTGATTGATTTACTGATTCCGGGCACATTTACGACCAGGGTCATTAATGCTGTAAGTGTAGTGCATGTTTTCCCAAGGGAGATGGTGGTGAACTTCCCCTTCATGTATGGCGAGATCCGGCGCCGACCTACCGTCGGTTACCAGGTTTTCCCCAACCAGGTATCTCCATCGGCGGGGTATCGCCCCAGACGGGACAAGCTCTATGCTCCCGACCGGTCTGCCGGCATGTGTGCTTGTGTCGGGCGTGTTAGAGTAAGAGTGTGTGTGTAAGGGGAGAGGATAGGAGAAGAAAGAGGTAGGAAATATCTCGCGCGGTCCGTGCCCCGTTTGTTAGGGTACTGCTGCGGCATTCGCCTGGTGTTGACCAGGGAAACCACAGAAACCTATCAGAGCAGCCGGCCTCTAGGATTCTCCTCCAGACAGCAACTGAATTCCACCTGACTGACATCCTAGTGCCAAAAATCTTGCTAATGCCGGGACTTGAATCTAGGACCTCTCGGTCAGAGGCACTGCAGTGACGTCAGTTGATGCATTGAGCTACACCTATTCCGATTGTAAACTGTCATTGGCCCCGTGTGAATCAAAGAATACAGGGTAGAACAATATGTAATCCTCCACATTTAAGTTTTGTTTTCTTTGAAACGTATCTAAAAAATCTTTTGTCTAAACCTTCACAAGCGTTGCCATTTGAATTACTGGATTCATGAATGCTCATTTTCCATTGCTTTTAAAATTACACTGTGTTTGTGAAAAGAGCGATTTTCGTAACAAAATGTAGCTTCATTATGGGCACGCGTTGTTGAACTCTCCTTTTGCTTGTAGTGGTAGGGTGAATTACTATTTCCTTAGCTATGCAGAAAATCAAATCTGCAGTTTCTTTTCCGTAGCAAAAACGTTTTCTATAACTCGGGATCGAAAATGTCTAGTTTTTCAAATGCTGCTAATCCCGCGCATTTTTAAATTTCATTGTTATTTAACTTTCTTTAACTTTTATTCATTTGTTTATTTGTTGCGTTTGAATTGACGCAACGCGTCTCTAGGCCCGTGGGGGCGTTGAGCGCTTCACTTTCAACTGTTTATAGTTCAAATGATGGAAAGGGATTTTGGAACTCAAGAAAACGTGTGCAGTTTATCCTCTCCCCCACGTCACATACAGTTTTTACTATCCAAATCTAAATTTTTTAAACCCAAAAAGGATGTTCGGTTGAATTAACATTTACAACAAATACAATTTTATCATTAATAATATTTTTGCTGGATTGACTGTTATTAGGAAAAGTATGTTTGCTTCTATTTCTGTTAACCGATGCAATCAATTTCCTAGGCCAACCGACATTTAAAAAACAAGATTCACGTGCGAAATTATTATAAATGGTTGAATAGGGTCGAGTAATCAACCCCGGTATTCGCATAAGGAACTGTCCATCTAAGGGCTGCCAACTTGCTCTATTCAAAACAATCGGAACTAAGAACGAAAATTTATAAAGAACTATGTAATATAGCTGACAAGTCACAGAACTTCAACAAAACTCTTGATAAAAAGCTCTTGTTGCTCTGAGACGGAAAAATTGTTAACATACTAATATTTGTTGCGAACTAAATATTGTAATACTACTAAACTACATTTATTCCATTTCTAGCCCGATTTAGCGATGGTGGAAACCCAACAAGGTGACGAACGACAGCGCAACATCCCTCCACCGCCATCTTGGTTAGACAAGGGCCTGATTCAACAAGTGCTGCGCAACGGCGGAGAGGAAAACTCGCAGGTCGCCGCTCTTGATGTGACCCTTCCTATCCCCTCGGGCGAAAACTACGGCAGCACCATCTATCGAGCGAAGGCCACACTCACTAATGGACAGCAACGTTCCTTCATTGTGAAGGGGCCCTCTCCAGGAGCGGCGTTGGCCAGCATGTCATCCGAAGGCGGCGTGTTCCAGAAGGAAGCCGAGCTATTGGGAACCCTCATCCCGCAGATGCAGGTTGGAAGGGCGCGTTGATGTATTGATTGATTGGTTGATTGTTCGTGAATCCGGGCGCGTCAACTATTAAGATCACTAACACCGTGAGTGTAGTGCATGTTTTTGTTCGGTGGGGGGGGGTATGATTTTGTCTCACTGCGTAGTGACATCCGGTGCCAACCAACCGACGGCTGGCGAAATTTTCCTCAATCAGGTATCTCCCACCAGCGGGGCACCGCTCTAGCCGAGACCATCTCTCAGCTCCTGAATGATCTCTCGCCATGTGCGATAGTGTAGTGCATGTATGTGTAAGCGTTTGTCAGTAAGGTGTGAGGATAGGACAAGGAAGAGGTAGGGAAGATCGCATGCGGTCCGTGGCCCTCAGGGAACTACTCCGGCATTCGCCTGGTGTTGATCGGAAAACCACGGAAAAATACCGATCAGAACGACCGGCTCCTAGAATTCTCCTCCAGACAGCGATTGAATTCGAACTGGTGTCGAAAATCCTGCCATCGTCGGGACTCGAACCTAGGATCTCCCGTTCTGAGGAATTGCAGTGATATCAGTAGATGCCCTAAGCAACCTCTCGCGATGGGAGGGTTGGTTGTAAACTCATGGTGGATATGAAACTCTCCATATAAGAGATGTTTATGCATGGATTTCCATTTCTAAAGATTTTACGTTTAGTGTTTAAATCCATATTAATTTTTATTTAATATTTATTTATTATTTTATCTAATAAAAATGGATCCATACTAATATAAACAAGTATTATCAAGTACTGAGTAGATGTCATTGTTATTTTCGTCATGTCCGAAACTATCATGACAGTATTTGGTATAACATTATACTATAACGGGACTGCTTGGTAATTAACAAAATTCCCTCCCGCATTGCATATAGTTATCAGAGTATAAGCGTTCGTAGGCTTCTACGGCCGGAGTCAATACATTCTTGGCTATCCAGGATGATCCGCGTCTTGGTCAATTGAACTGACGTTGCGGCCATCCTGCTGTGGCCTTCTTCAGAGCTATACTGCTCAAAGAAGCAGTTGAACTAAAGCCGAGTGTAGCTAAAGCCGAGTGTAGCTAAAACCGAGTGTAGCTAAAGCCGAGTGTAGCTAAAGCCGAGTGTAGCTAAAGCCGAGTGTAGCTAAAGCCGAGTGTAAGCTAAAGCCGAGTGTAGCTAAAGCGAGTGTAGCTAAGTCGACTCAAGCCTAAGTCGACTCAACCCTAATCGACTCAAGCCTTAAGTCGACTCAAGCTTAAAGTCGATCAAGCTTAAGTCGACTTCAAGCCTTAAGTCGACTCAAGCTTAAGTCGACTCAAGCTTAAAGTTCACGGTCGGTAAACGCAATTGGATTCTTGTAATTTTTAAGCCCATATTCCTCGTCTGCGGAGGCCCTGTTAGAAGAAGGCAGCCCCCGGCCGGTTCCCACCATTGGCTCCACGTTGCTACCACCACGGCACCTCCCCCGTGGAGTTCCTCGTGATGGAGGACCTGGCACCTTCCGGCTTCAAGATGGCGAACCGGAAGCGAGGACTTGGCCTGAGGCACAGCCTACTCGCCCTCCGCAGCCTCGCCCGCTTCCACGCCGCCTCGCACGCGCTCTTGCAGCGCCAACCGGAACTAACGGAGAAGTTGGGCAACACGTGGAGAGCGATGTACAACACGATGGAGACCTTCGTCAAGGGAGAAATTGGAGCTGCGGCTGAAGCTTGCCGCTCGTGGCCTGGTTGTGAAGACTGTGCCGATCGCTTGGACAAGTTCAAGGTTATATTTTTCGAACTTAAAATGTATTATCATATTTAATTTGCATGAATCATTCATTTAGACATTTTCAACATCTTGTTAAAAGTAACGCCAATTGTTTTCTTTATTTTTTCTCAGAGAGAAAATTATGCTTGTAAAGATGTGCAGGTCCTATTTTTGTGTAATTTCCAAGAAAATTGTAAACTTTTGGTTTTTTTCGACGTTTTGCACAACTACATTCATAATTCAAGATAGAGTTTATTTTCGTAATGAAATCTAGTCTACAAAATTAAATCTTTAAAGATCATGTAAATTCTTGTTAAATAATAGAATTTTCAGATAGTTTTTCGTGAAATAATAACACATTTATAAATAACATTTTCTCCAAAATATCTTCATTTTTTTTACAAATAGTTTACGCTCAAAAATAATAATAAAGCAAGATCGTGTCTAAGGTAAACGTTTTGCATTTTCGAATACTGTAAAAGTTTAATATTTATTCCGAAATATTAAACCTTTTGGGGCGATGCCCCAAAACGAAGATATTGAAGGTAGATATTTCTTCTTAATGCAATCGATTCTTTAAAATTAGATCTTGAAATAATATCAATAAAAATCTCTGATCATTTGCATTTTTCGAAAATTGAAATTTCTTTTTCTAGCATCGGGAAGGTTGTTTTTTAATTGTGGGGTATCTGAATAGGGTAACTTGTGGGGAATAGGGTAACTTGTGGGGAATGTGGTGAGGGTATCTGAATTGGGTAACTTGTGGCGTTCTAAACTTAAGAACCTGAGATCGAATCCAAAGGTGAGAGAAAATTATTGCTGGAATGGAAACACTTGTGTTTTTAAGAGTATTATAATATTACGAAATAGTTTCAAATAATGCGAGAAAATATACACTGTTTCAGCTCTAGTAGTTCACTGATATTTTTATTTACTTTTACCCCGAAGACTGCTTTTAATTGTTTCCCGTAATAGGTCTCAGTGAAGTGACAACATTAGTGAGTTGTGTATTGTGAATTGTTTTGCAAGGCAAAGAGCAGCTATTGTCCAATATTTTGAACGTTTTTCCTAAAGAACTTTACAGGGTTTTGCATTTGAATGTCCCATATGCAATCGTCATGTTCACCCTGTGTTTGAGCCACAGAATGATTAACGTAAGACAACTCAACCAGAGCTTAACTCTTTACATTACGTTTGTAACTTATGAAGACTATGGCTAGGTATTAAGATAACAAATGTGTTATAGTTGTTTCGTGTTATATAATTTGTCTAGAATTCAAACATCCTAAGAATTTTAAAATTGTTATGGGTTTATTTTTTAATTTGAAATAGTAATATTAATACTAAACGTAATTTGGGTGCTAACTTTCCTCATTTCTTATCTTTGAATAATTTATATAACAAAACATTTCTTAGATTTGGATAGTTTAACATCATAGCCAGAATGTAAAGTGATGCTGCCTGTAGTCGAGTCACGAGTTACAATGATGGTTATTTCTTTGTGTAGGTCGTTGCCATTGATACGTTCACTGAGCTAAATGACGCTAAGCCTGGTGCTTTCAACGTCATCACCCACGGAGACTACTGGGTAAACAACATGATGTTTCCGTTATGAAGAAGGGGAGCTCAAGGAATTGCGAGCAGTTGATCTTCAAGTAAGTATTTAATAACGAAGACGTTATTTTGATAAACTCGTTTTATATTCGTGAGAAAAATATTTATTAAAACGCTTTAAATACCAGCTGATACTATATATATATATATATATATCTATATATATATAAACTGGTATTGTTTGCGTTTGGTATTGTATTCCCAAATTGTTTCTACATTTTGGCATCGTGTCAATTTTACGCACTAGTGCTAAAACTGAACATACGCGCGGTATGATGCATATATATTATATCATATATATTATATATATATATATATATATATATATATATATGTTTTGAGTTTTATTTGTGCGTAATAAAATATTTTTCTAGTCAGAGACTAATAAAAGCTGTTCTTTTAAAACATGCATACCTCGCTATGTTCAGTTTTTAGCACTAGTGGTAAAAGTGACACGATGCCAAATGTTAGAAATAATTTGTGAATGCAATAAGGAAACAAAATTCTCTCGTCTCATCACATCAGCTATTCACTTGATTGCTCGCGACATGATAAATCAATTATCATCAATTTTAGAGGGATTCCTGTAGGATATTTTGTAAAACACGTAATTTGAGGACGCAATTACATTGGTAAAATACTCTCATTTTGCTCGCTCTCGATTTGTGACGTCGAGAGCAATCAAATGAACTACTTTCCACATCTGTCTCATTTGTCTTCATTGGTGGCTCCGAAGGGGTCTAACCGTGCGCGACGCACGAACGGACGGATACAAACTACTCGATTATTATGCAGGGATTTCTAGGAGACAAAAAATGTCTAATTTTTAAATGTTGCTACTCACGCTTTTTGTTACTATTCTTTCTAATCCTAATTTTACAGAAAAATAGAGAGGACAGAGTTTTTGGAATTCGAAAAATATTACACTTTTTCCTTTGTAGATTTTAGCTTTTTTTCGAAATATAAATAAATTATAATAAATTAATTTATTACATTAAATAATTATTGTTTTCTTTTCTGTTACATTCAGTGTTCAGTATTCTGTAACAACTATATTCAGTAGTTGACTCGCGACCGAGGATATAATTAACAACAAATGATCAAAGTATTTGACGCAACTCGGATTCATACTACTCATGCATACCTCTCGCGCGCTATAATGAATAATAATAATAATAATAATAATAACAATAATAATAACAATAATAATAACAATAATAATAATAACAATAATAATAACAATAATAATTTAAGTAAATTGTCTATCCCACAGATGTCCCACGCCGCCTCTCCGGCCATCGACCTCATATACTTCTTATCCAGTAGCGTCAGTGACCACATCCACGAGCACCACCAAGATCTGCTGCTGCGGGAGTACCACTGGGAACTGAAGGAGACCTTGGAGCTCCTTGGACTTCAGGTAACGGAACACTGAGCACTTGCAGCAACCTCACGCTCTATTTTCTGACTTTTATTCGTCGGTGTTTCTGGGCGCGTCAACTGCTATGGTAATTAATCCCGTACGCGTTAGGCATGGTAAATTCCGAGAGATGGGTAACTTTTCTCCCTCTGAAACGATAGAGCCGGCTCAAAATACTTTCTGAACGAAAACTCTCGGTGTTTTAAATACAAAGATCTCTGCAATTTTCTAAATGTCAAGACGTTCTAATGAAAATCGGAAATGTACCATGTTTATAAACACACTTTCTTCTACTCGAGGAAAACATTTTCAGAAAGAAGTTTCAGCCATTTTTCAGAAAATGTTTCTGAAGCGCTTCACGTAGAGTACCCTCCCAAAATGAAATATTTTAATTATCTCTTGAACAGCACAAATAGATTACTGTTGCCGTAATTACCGAGTTTCAGTTGACAAGCTTTTAATTTAACAAAGGTATGCGTGTCACCTCCATCCATTCATCCATCCATGTATACAAATCGATTTTCGGTCACACAATTGCCTGCCTATCGTCTCTACCAGCACTCATCTTTACGCTGTTTGGAACGACACTAACTGACTAATGACATGTTTACGAAGTTACTGCTCAAAAGGACCTTAAACACGGATTTTACAAGTACAAATCTTATTGTTGAGTTGACGTCAATACTTTTCATCCTTATACTACAGAATACGGAAGAACAGTAAAAAGTGACAGCTGCCTCGACAGGAATCTTCACAACAAAAGTTGGCCCTTGACGAACGAGGAAAAAGGCTGTATTCATTAAGTCTTTGGGATTACCGCGGCTTCTGCGGCTGAAACCCATTTCTCCTGGCGACAGACGCGTCTGGCGGAAAATTACATGGACTATTTCTCGAGGTGGAAAACGTGTTGCTAGCTAGGCACTCGCAAAGTATGTGGCGAGTCTCGTTGGAGATTCACTAATAGTGATAATCACTAATAATGTTCATCCTCTGTCACTTCCTTCCCTCAGAGTGCTAACAATTTCACACATGGTAAAATTGATGATGATAAAAAAAGAAAAAACACATTCCAAATTCGTTCTAACTAGCGGTGAACCCATCAGTTGCGAGGAATTCTGCAAAATACGACTACGTTTTCTCTCCACGAGATGAAACCGGGAGAGACGGCTCAGTCAATCAACTGATGTCACTGCAGTCCCTCTGATCGGGAAGTCCTAGGTTCGAGTCCCGACAGTGAGAGGAGTTTCGACTTTAGCTTAACAGTTAAGTCACATCCAGTCGCTGTCTGGAGGGGAATTCTAGCGGCCGGCTGCTCTGATCGGTAGTTTTCCGTGGTTTCTCCGATCGACACCACCGGCAGATGCCGGAGCAGTACCCTTACAAACGGGCCACGCGCGATCTTTCCTACCTCTTCCTTGTCCTATCCTCACCACTTACTAACACACACTTACACAAGCACGGACTACGCTACCACACATGTCGGCATCCTAGAGCTTGTCCCGGTTGGGGCGGTGCCCCGCTAGTGGGAGATACCTGATAAGGGAAAACCGTGTTAGGGAAAACCGATGGTAGGTCGGCGCCGTATCTCGCCATCCAGCGGGGAACTACCGCCACCTCCCGTGAAATAACATGTACCACACTCACGGAACTAGTGACCATAGTAGTCGACGCGCCCAGAATCGCTGTCAATCAATCCACGAGATGAAGCAATTATCGGAAGCTTGGCGGAATTCTGCCCAACATGGCATCCCAGGTACGACAACTCAAACTTGGATGTGTGACGTGTGTTTGCAGTCGCCGACGCTGGAGGCGCTACTTGCGGCTGTGGACTTGCACGGTCCGTTCTCGCTGTTCTTGGCGCCAGCCAGGCCCATTGTCAGGGCAGAGAAACCCGTTGACCTGAACGCCATGTACGAAGGGGACCACTCCAGCCTGTTGCCTCTTTACCAGCAGGCAGAGGTCAAGAAATGGATGCAGCGCGTTTTACCGGACTACGCCCGCAGGGGTTGGCTGCCTGCTTGAGCGCGTTCAGAAATTCGTGAGGGCGCCTCAACGCACGATCCAGTGAACAGATGTTTGTAACGAACTTTCTGCAGTTGTCTGTAAAAAAGTTTCTGAATTAACCAAAATCAATTTAAGCGTCCCCCCAAAACAAATTATTCCACCTTAGTATTCGAATAAACCAAACGACGTTTAAAAGGTGAGCAAGAAATGGGTGGAACGCGTTCCACTGGACTGATGGCTGCCTGCTTGAGCGTATTCAGGAATTCATCGTCGCAAACTCTTCAATCAATTCTCTGGACTTTTTGTAGTGCACATGTCGTGGACGAACTTCATGAACGTTCTGAATTGACCAAAGTTCAAATTAAACTTTTCCCAAAAAAACTGAAAATAAAACTCAAGAATAACTAGTAATATTACTGAATGTCAGATTTTTTCATTCTGGTACTTTGTTTCCTATTTCCTTCGGCGTGTAAAGAACACTTTAAATGGTCACTTTTCATAATTTTTCGTCGATACTTGAAAGTGACAGGCCAGACTGGATGTAATTTGTTAGAAAGAAGTCGTTTTCTTCATTTTCCGGTACAGATTGCATCCTGTTTAACTACCGCACTCCTCGCGTCTCTTTTTGGAACTTTCTCTGGTTTGCTCGGCGTCTGGTGCGATTTGGTACTTTTGTGCAGTTTCGACAGTGTTCTAAAGAGTTGAATTGTTATGTGAAGTGAAAAGTTTATGTAGTGAGAAATAAAACATATACTTTGTCTAATATTGCTCAATCCTGATATAACCAACTTAATTTTTTGCTAAAAATTAACGAGCTAGAATATATTAATTGCGTAGCTTTTCTTGAAAGATGACCTCGCTTCCCCTTCTCAGGTACAATAAACAGTTGAACGTAAAAGCTTGCAGTGAGCACTGATGACAACATTCAAAACACATCGTCACTGGCGCGAAATATAAACTATTTTCCGTTGAAAATGCCCGTGATTTTCTCCAAAAAATCTAAAGAAACGACTGAAGCAAGTGAATATTCATCACAGGAGATACTTCAAATTTCTGAGAAAGTTGTGAAGGCACGCTGATTCTTCTGAGACTGGCCATACCCCCACGCTACCCGCATTTCTTCAATCCATCGTTCAAGAAAAGTTGCGCGAGTAATAACAAATAGAGTTCCGAAAGTTACAGCGCTCTTAGTGGAGGCTCGCCGAACAAGTGGCTGCCATGTTTTTTTAAAATCAAAACATACGAATGGCGGTGTATTCAACTGCTATTCGGAATCGGCGTAGTGTTGTTCGTATCACAACTTATTTCTTTATCGTTTTTCGTTTAAAGGTATTTAGATAACGGTATTGCAATAACATTCACTTTCAGACTGTGCACTAACTACAATAACATTGCAATAGCTTCCATTCTTATGACAATCGATGCAGGAAGGAAAATGAATTTCAAGTTTCTCAATTCGTTCTCCTAACATATTGTCATTCCGTTTTTAAAGGATTGCTTTTTGATCGTGAGAAAACACAATAAGAGGAGTTATATTATGCGCGTCCCGCGCCCACCGGCCGTAACCAGCTCCAAAAGTAATGCTAGAATTCTTCTCTCCCTGAGAGCACTGCTTTGCAAAAAACATGGCTTCCATTTGCTTCAAAAATGGAGGCGCGTAAGTCCCTCTATACTAAAGTAAATATTATAGTAAATTATAACTCGTTGCCATAAATTAAGTGTTCGAATGTTGGTTTTCAGCGATTCTTACGGCCTCCAAAGGAAATATTTTCACTGCGATTGCGTGCAGAAAACGAAATGATCGTGTAAAACGCTCGTTCACTTCATTCAGCTTTGGTACCGAAACAGGGGTGCGTAGAAATGAACGTTCCTTTTCTATCCATTTTCTGTAAAGAAAAATGATCGTTTAAAGACATAAATGATTAGCAGGGCCTCTTGCCGTAGAGCTTGTCGATCGACGATCGTCGACGCTCGTCGAACAACGATCTCCAATCGTATCGCTTCGTATCGATAGTATTCAATTGTGCCGTTCTGTCGAAACTATCGATACTTCTGACAATTGTGTAATACTGTCCGAATCAATTTTTAATTAAAATGTATTCCTTTAAATCATTTTTAATTACAAATATTCTAGCAACAAATTTCATCTTCAATACTGACCTCTCATTAAATGTAAAAATATAGAGATCACTGGTTCAATCTATAGTTCGACCTCGTATTTTCGTAATAAGAGAAAGAAAGACAAATTTCAAGTTCTCAGTGAACGTTAATGAGCGATAATTGTTTGAGTAAATACACCAATGACGTTTCTGCGCGGCAAGTGCGAAGAGTATGTGATATTTGCCTAGGTTGTTTCGAGGTGGCAATGCTGAAAGAAAAGCACAATATTTTACACATTTTCAAAGAAGTATGCATTTAGTGACAGAAAATTTATTGGAAAGATTGGTAAGATATTATTTGAATCAACATTTTTATTGTACCAATATTATACCATAATATTGATGTGGTTTATTTTATTATTTGTTTACTGAAAAAATATCTCAATTAGTCGAAACATAGAGGATTTTGTTTAAATTCTGTTTCGATAGTACTATCGATATTATTTATCGAGTATCGATAGTTTCGATCGTCGTACTAAAGAGGTATAACACGCTTGATCCCGCGGTACTCGTACCTGCCCTTGCTTTTGGGTATAGTAACGAGCACCTTCACGCTACCCCAACATCGCATAGGCCTAACTCGGCCCACATATCTACCCATAGTGTTTATTGGCATCACCTCCATGTTTGCACCATTGTTCCTGAATTAAACTATTATCAAGGACCCTACTCGAATTCAATTAAAATTATTTTCATTATATATAAACATCAATTGATGGGGCAATTTCAAAATTCAATTTCAAACGTTTCTTAATAAATAAGTGTGAAGGAAAAAAATATGGAAAATAGTAAGTTTTACAATATGGCAATTGATTGAAAGTATTGGAATGATACACAAAAATCCACGAAAAGCATTTACATTACTGCATTTGTTTTATTTGGTTTACTTTAGATTTGTTTATTATTTTTAGTTATAAAGTCAATGAAGTTTGGGGCAGGCAAACCCAATAACAAAAAATTAAAATTGTTTTTAGAGGGAATGTGATTTAGTGATTACGGAAGACCGCATGTTTCCAGATGGGGGCAAGGCAGAGAGGGGCTGATAAGAGATTCAATAGAATAGATAGAAAAAGGCGCTGCCACAGGGCGAGAACAGATAGAATTCCTCTTCCTGTCCAATAAATTATTATGACTATTCCACTCGAGAAATTAAAATCAATAGTATTTAACTATACAAACAAAATGCCCCAATCAGGGTGGTGAATTTCAAAAAGTTTATCGGTTTTCAATCCGATTTTACTTACCGCTTCTACCTATTGGCCAACTCATAAACTCATTAACTGTGACTCATCTATCTTAGGAGGGGTTATAAGAATATATCGATGGCTATGGCGACGTCCAATAAACAGTATAAATCTTAACATATCCTTTGACTTTAACACACGCTTTCAGTTATTTTCAATGTTTGGCGCGATTTGGATCTAATTTCTTGTTGGATCTAATTTCTTGTTGGATCTAATTTCTTGTTAGACCTAATTTCGTGGAATAGTCCTGTTAAATACCACTCGTGCTTTGCAAATTCTCAAATAAATCACCTACTTGCTTCGTGAGTAGGGACTTTATCGACAATTACCAAAGCACTCGTGTTATCACCTATGATAAATATCCGGGCAACGCGGGGTACTTGAGCTAAAAATTTGATAAAACCATTAACATAAATAAAACAATTTTTATCCAAATGTGGTCTTAAATGGGCTTTATAATTTTGAATCTATATATATTTGAAACTTTGATACAATTCGTTTCGTTCTAAAGTAAAACCAGGGTTTCCTTTACCTATACGTAATATTTATATTGAGGAAATATGTTTTATAACAATACACGTATACTTTTTTACATTTTAACAAATTTGCGGTACTCCAATAGAATTAGAATATGACTTCGAGAATGTTATACAAAACCCGACTATGCGTTTATAGTAGGTAGAAAGAGGTAATTGTTTTCAGACAAATACGCTAGAAATAAACAAAAAAGTAAGCAACAATTAGAAACCATATGGTGATTGGTTGATTAATTAATAGATGTATCCGGGCACGTCAACTGCTTTGCCATTAGCTCCCTTAACCGTTCTGAGTGTTTATCCCGGGAGGTGGCGGTGTTCGTCATCCGCTGGATGGTGGGATTCGGCGCCGACCCGATCTTCGGATTGCGTTTGGATTTCCCTCTCCATGTATCTCCCACTGTGGGGCATCAGCTCAGTCGATACAAGAGCTAAGCTCCCGACCGGACTTGACCCGACACGAGTGATAGTGTAGTGCTCCAACGTGTGTGTAAAGGGGAATAACGTGTGTGAAGGGCAAGGCAGATGAAGGATAGATAGCGCTCTTTTCGTATCCCGTTTGCTAGGACAATGTTCCTGCATTCGCCTTGTATTGATCGAAGAAACTATTGAAAACAACCGATCAGAGCAGCGAACCGCTGAAATTCTCAAGAGAACGACTGAATTCGACCTAGCTATGTAGTTAGTGTCAAAAATCCTGCCAATGTCGCGACTCGAACCTAAAACCTCCCGGTCAGTGTAACTGCAGAGTAAGAATTGGTTTTGGCTCCGATCGAAACTCAGCCGGTCAAGATAGAGAGGAAAAATAGAGAGAGGACGAAAAAGAGAAAAAAAGAGTGTAAAACAAAGAGAGAGAAACAACGAAGAACGAGAATGAAAGTGTGAAAATATAGAGAAAAGGAGATAGAGAAACAATGAGAGAGAGAGAGAGAGGGGGGGGAAATGGAGAGAAAGTAAGAGAGAAACAAAGAGAAGAAAGGAGGGAGAAAGAATGAGGGGACACAGAGAGAGAAGAGGGAGAAAAGAGAAAGTGAGAGAAAGAATGTGAGAAAGAGAGAGAAAGAAAGAAAGAGAAAGAAATAGAGAAAGAGAAAGAAAGAGAGAGAAAGAGAAAGAAAGAAAGAGAGAGAAAGAGAAAGAAAGAAAGAGAGAGAAAGAGAAAGAGAGAGAGAAAGAAAGAGAGAGAGAGAAAGAAAGAGAGAGAAAGAGAAAGAAAGATAGAAAGAGAAAGAGAAAGAAAGGGAGAGAAAGAGAAATAAAGAGAGAAAGAGAAAGGAGAGAGGCGGAGATCATGAATGAGTTTATGAGAACGCGGAACAGTGCAGTCACTCCGCGTGCTTTTGCAGCTGCAGCGTGAAGGTCGCAGCCTTCACGTGCGACCACAGGCGAACCATTACGTAACCAGCGCCATCGTTACTCCTCTCTCTCTCTTCCACACGACGACCGCCAGATGCCGCTTTGCCGCAGCCAATCCACGCTGAGATCTACACTCCGATTACAACGTAGTGGCACGTCAAGGTCACGAGATGGGTGGAGAGGGGGGGGGGCATCCAGTCGCGAGATCAAATACAGAAAGGTCGCAACGAGGCTCCAGCTTGTGTTCTCCTCCCGGACTACCTCGTGACTGCAAAGTGTCGCTGTGTTTACATCGGAGTGTACGCATCCAACTTGACGTGGGGGGCGTTGAACTGGCGGGAGTAGTCACTGCGTGTCAGATTACGTGAGTCCTAGAAACTCGTTCAAGGACCTCTCGGAGTTCCTTCTCCGATGCAGATGCAGGGAAGTGACACCGAAGGCAGTTGTGCTTCGATGGTGAATGCGATCTTTAGTGATCGATTGTGATTTTAATTTGTTGCTTGAGATTGGTAGTTTGTTGACAAGTGAACAACGAACACCGCTCTTCGGATCCGGTGAGTAAACATATGCACTAAGAGTCTTATGAGAGTTCTAATGATCGGGCAGAGACAAAATTACTGAAGGCGTTTGGCCGAAGGCTTTTTGCTGCCCCGAGATCATTAGAACTTGTTTACTTATTAATTAACAAAATGTTAACTTCAATCGGTTTGTCTTTTCGTGAGCGTGAAAAATGTGTTTTTCACGCCTCGTTTGTTTAAGACCTTTTCAAATGGTAGTTGAAGTGTAAAACAGAAATTGTCACATATTACATAACTACTAATATCGCGAGAAAGTACGTGCTTTTTTAGCACCGCTAGTTAATGAGGGCGGGGAAATGGAGGTAACAGACCATGGTATAAATTGTTGCAACTCTCTTCGCTTCCAGATAAATTAGTGGTGCTAAAACTGCTGTTACTTTCTCGCCCGTACTTTCATGCAAAATTAAACTAAAAGTACTACTCAATTGTTCGCGAATTGTACAAGACCTATTTCAAAATCTCCCTTTAAGAAAGTTTTCATTGAGCGAAAAATCTCTATCTTTAATATTATAGTTGTAGGAAGACTCCGAAAAAAATTTGAATTTTTTGCAATTTTCGAAACATTAGAGTTACAGGAGCTTTATGTAAAGGACCTCCCCCCCCCCAAAAAAAAGAAAAAAAAACTGTTTCAAATTCAAGGGAAAGGGACATCGGCCAGAACGATTAGGGATTATCAGTTTTGGAAAGAATCGGCTGAACGATTAAGCCGCAAGCATTGTTGACGGACGGACGGACGGACGGACATTTTCCTGTCATTTGATTTGAAATGTATGAATCGGTATGAAGAATATCTACAACCACAAGATGATAATAATAATAATAATAATAATAATAATAATAATAATAATGAACTTTTGTATATTTTAAATATGTCTGTGTTACCATGCTTTGATATTGTATCTGTGTGGTATCCATGTGAAACCAAAAACTTTGAGAATAAACAAAATAATACTAATACTAATAATAATAATAATAATAATAATAATAATAATAATAATAATAATAATAATAATAATAATAATAATAATAATTTTATGAAAAAATGAAAGTTCGTGAAATGTTAAATTTGTTATTGTTTCATTCATAACTGACCTAAACCTAACAACCAAGTCAATACTTAAATGGTTATACATTAAAATAATTATAAAACTGATATTGTTTGGACTTTTTTCAGAAATAAGCCTACTAACGACTTAGAGATGGTCGAAACCAAGCAAGCTGAGAAGCCACAGGCCGAAACGCGTCCTCCGCCATCTTGGTTAAACAAGGAACTGATTCAACAAGCGCTGCGCAACGGCGGAGATAGCAACTCGCACGTGGAAACAATTGACGTGAGCATGCCAGTTGCTGCGGGGGAAAACTTTATCAGCGCCGTCTACCGAGCGAAGGCCACACTCACTGATGGGCAAGAGCGATCTTTCATTATTAAGGGCCCAGCAGCAGGAGCAGCTTTGTCCAGTGTGACAAATGAAGTCAGAACCTTTGAAAGAGAAGTCACGATGTTGGCGCAAGTTATTCCGCAGATGGAGGTAAAAGAGTGGAGGATGTCCATGGTGTTACAATAAAATAATATCGATTGATATAATTTAAGGGGAGAGGATACCCTGTATCCGCCAATGTCAAATTTGCTATTATTGATGTGCGTTTTCCAGAAAAAAATTGACTAGAAAATTCGTATATTTTGCCCACATAAAGATGGAGACACGAACCAAACATTATTATTTTGACATTTTTTGAGCTCTTTAAAAATAATTAGTATTTTTTCTTTCTCGCTTTACAAATTCTTCGTAAGAACAGAAAGCTATGTAATCGTGCGCCAAAAACGGCTGAAATTTCGCCCGAAAAAAAAACTCGTTGCCTGGTTCTGGTAACGAAGTGGATCATTCCTGTTACTAAATTTACAAAAAAATTGACTATCTCGTGTGGTGTAGCCAGAATCCATGTTTAGTTGACTCTTCATGCCGAAAAATGGTTTGACGGCAAAACATCTGTCTGCCTGTCTATCTCTCTGTCTGTCTGCCTATCTGTCTCTCTGTCAGTCAGTCAGTCAGTCAGTCTGTCTGTCTGTCTGTCTGCCTGTCTGCCTATCTGTCCGTCTGTGGTCAACGCTAGCGCCTAAACCGTTCAGCCGATTTTCTTCAAAATACATATTCCTCAATTGATTTGAATTAATTCGTGGATTTGTTAGTCTCAAATGGATATTTTGATTTTTGACAGTACTTCAAGAAAGCCTCAAACAAATTTTCAACGTTTTCTCAAAAACGGCTCCAAATTTTTTGATTAAATTTTAGTTGTTGAATAGTGCAAAGCACGTTTAAGAGAATGGTTTTAGATTTCATTTGACATCCTCGATTTTTGAAAAATTGTAACAATTTTTGTAAAAACTACAAAATTGAAGATAGAGGTTTTTGGCTCAGATAATTCAGTTATAAAAAAATAGGTCTTTAAAAAAACCTTGATCATTTTTTTGTAAAAGTTGATAGTTTTTGCATGATTTGCGCTTGAAATGGGGGCGAAAAAACCACCCCAAATGTTTGCTTTGAATATTAGCCTGATATGTAATAAGGGACGATATGAAATATGGTGCTAATCCTATTTTCTGGTATTGCTCGTTTATTTCGAAAACGTTACATATTCGGCAAACGACATTTGAAAAAGGTCTGTACTGACACTTCTCTAGTAGAACATTTCCGCACCATATTCTGGATCATCTTTTTCAGCGGAAAATACCAATAGTACCAACGTATGAACTAGAGTATGATTCTGTAACTCTTTAACAACACAACATGCATTCTAAATTACGACAAAATAGTGAAAGTTGTATGCAGTGTTAGAAAGGGAACAGGGATATTTAAATAAGAATTAAAGGGATTTAGGCGTCCTAGAAATGTTAATATATTTGAAAACATCGAGGTTTGAATTATTTATTTAGAAAAAAAAGAAAAAACGGAAAGCGATAATTTGACCCATTTCATGGTACCATCTTCCCTCATCTTCCTAAAAAAAACATATGGTGTCATGAAAAAAAAATCCTACAAGACCCTATGGTCTCGTGCTAAAAAAATGAATGTCTCTATGACACTATATGGTTTCGCGTGGCAGCCAACGTATTAATGTTCTACAATTACCAAACTTCCTCTACCAACTGTTTTTTTCTCAAGACTAAGTTGTCTCTTTAATTATTGAATGGCCTTCGTATTTCTCAGCTGTAATGTATTGACTTATTGTGGCAGGCCATGTTAGAAAAAGCAGCCCCTGGACGGTTCCCACCTTTGGCTCCACATTGCTACCTCCACGGCACCTCCCCGGTGGACTTCATCGTGCTGGAGGACCTGGCTCCTCTCGGCTTCAAGATGGCCGACCGGAAGCGGGGCCTGGGCCTGAGGCACAGCCTGCTCGCCCTCCGAAGCCTCGCCCGCTTCCACGCCGCCTCGCACGCGCTCTTGCAGCGACAACCGGAACTGGCGGAGACGCTAGACAACACGTGGAGGGCCAGCCACCAGAGCATGGGGGCTTTCGTCGAAGGGAAGATCCAAGCGGCTGTCGAAGCCTGCCGGTCGTGGCCTGGCTTTGAAGACTGCGCCCACCGACTGGAGAAGTTCAAGGTATTGCTTCCGTTATACTTACACTTTTTAAATTTGATGAATTCCTTGATTAACGTCATCTACGTCTGAACGCCTCAACTGCTATGCTCATAAGTAGGGGGCAGATTTTAATACATATCTCATCTTCTGCAGGCGATCATTGGAAAGAACATTAATATTTATGATGTTCACAATTTTCAGCAACAAGTGAAACTTCTTTCGAGAAATTTTTGTGATAGTAAAATGAATGTCCAGGAAACGTGTAGACGCTTATGTAACATTTGCTAGAAGCTTTTACTACCAATATTTGAACCGTTTTACATTTACAAAGAATAAAGAAGACAGTAATTTATTCTGTTCTGGCTTCAGTTAAACACTTGAGTGCAAGAATGATTACACATTTTTTTACTCTGTGTTTTACTTAACACGTTAATCCCTACGAATATAAAGTGCCACATTAATCCCTGTAGTAATGAAAGTGTATTTAAACGAAAAAGTATTATGAAAACATACTTTAATCGCGTTTAAAAATATATTAAAAGAATTTGGGAACTGTAATTGTTTGAATTTGGTACTATTAAAAGTTTTCTTTTATATTGTAATATTATTATTATTATTAATATTATTATTTATACAATGTTATTAATATTATTTTATTGTAGTCATATAATATTGATGAATTAAATTGCGATTCCTTCTTCCTACTTCTGTAGGCCGTCGCCCTGGATACGTTTGCCCAGCTAAATGATCCGAAGGATGGTGCATTCAACGTCATCACCCACGGAGACTACTGGGTTAACAACATGATGTTCTGCTATGAAGACCAAGCGGTGAAAGGACATCGAGCACTTGATTTGCAAGTGAGTGTGTTTGAAGTTTTTATTTTTTTAAAAAAACACACATGTAGCAGTGGCGAAGCGTGACTGCATGCAGGCATGGGTGGCTCAGGGCATTAACTGATGGCACTGCAGTGTAGGGTTTGACTCGCAACGATGGTGGAGTTTTCGATACTAGCTATGTAGCTCCGACAAAGTCTGCCTGGAAGTCTGGAAGAGAATGCTTGGCGGCGGCGATGGTGTAACGGTTAGCGTACTGGACTGTTGTACCCAAGTTGGCGGGTTCAAACCCGATCGAAGCCGTGGAGTTTTAAGGGCAAAACAAATCCTTCGTACGCCTTCCTTCAGAGGGGAAGTAAAGCCGGCTGTCCCATGTTCGTAGATTTACTTGCATGTATAAGATCCTCAAGCCTAAATGACGCCTCTGAGCTAAATTCAAATCGCCTGTTTCTCGCCCAAGAAATACCTCCTTTCTCTCCTAGTTGGTGAAAGGAGCGTAGTGAAATTTGCGTGTGTCAGTGGTCAGACGGAAGAACGGGCCTGATGGCCCGAGTCTCGCCACGTAAAATAAGGCAAATTCAATTCAATTCTCTCTGCTCGTCTGCTCTCATCGGTAGTTTCCCGTGGTTTCTCCGATCAACAACAGCGTGATTTATACAGCATACCTCCTAGGCCGAAAGCCAGTACTTCCGCTTGCAGTGAATTGCGCAGCAATTTTTTGAATCAATTACTCCTCAGAACTCCCTGTGAGGAAAGTTATATTTAATACCATCTAATTCCTAAAATACTACGTATTGAATAAAAGAAAAAACATTTTGTGAATATGAGGGGATCCCAAAACGAGTATTTCCGTTGAAATCTCGAAATCGATTTTCTGCAGCATTACATAACTTTCCCTATACAACGTATATTACTCCGTATATACTTTTGAATACGAGAAAGTAAAAAAAGGACTTTCACCGTATCACTTCTTCACTAACTTAAAAAAACATATGGCAACCGTATCACTTCTTCGCTAACTTAAAAAAAACAGCAATAGCCGCCGAAGGCAGCGTAGTCACGTAAAGATCTATCAAGAAGAAGAGCTCAGGGCGGAGGAGTCGCTTATACGCCCGAAGGCAGAGATCTTGCCATCGAGACAGTTTCAGGGACATGAGAGAAAGTCCTTTCAGGTGTTTGAGACTACAGGACCACCCTGGAGAAATCGGCAGCGAAAGTAAGAGTAGAAATATACAAGGCGCAGCTAGGCGCGGCTATGTAGCGTCTACAGGGCGCAAAGCGACGCGAAGAGAGTAGTTGAAAATTAGCGCTGTCCAAATCAAGAAAATAGTGTCTACACCGAGAAAAAGAACCGTTGGGGTATACCAGATCCATGATACTGTAACATGTTTCCTTATAATATCAAGGATCTGCTATACTCCAACGGTTTTTTTTTCGGTATATGAAAATATGCATTTAAAATGAAAAATTTTAAGTTGTTAGCGAAGAGAGAGAATGAATGCAGTGTGTTCAGAGAGATAGGGACATGTAGAATACTTCCCGTTACCCATACTTCGCGAACTTCGAGTTAATGAAAACCTTTTTCGGCAGAACGCCAGAATGAGAGCGTAGGCTTCTTCATCTACTTTAACGTGTGAACAATTTAAACTTTCTGCTACCGAATACTCACATTTTTATCTTCAGTGACTGCCCCGTTTCGATCTTCCTAGCTACTCAAATTTCTATCAAAATACATTCAACATAATTTTATTCTTCTATTTATCCATTGTTGAGGAAAATGTATAGTCCAATTGAAAGAAATCAAAGATGATTAAATTTCTCGAAAACCAAAAATATTTCAAACAATATATCTACTGCATAATTCTTGCTCCACGTTTCTGCATTGTTGAGCAAATGGTGTAGATCGATAACGTGAGTCGTTTAGAAGTTACGGGGGTAGCCCATTCAAATTACCCACGCTCCATTTGCTAGTCGTTTAGAGTACAGAATGTTGCACTAACTAGTGCAACATTCTGTACTCTAAACGACTAGCAAATGGAGCGCGGGTAATTCAAGTGCACAATTTCGACAATTGATCAAATCAAGAATTTTGTGATCGCAGATCGCCCACGTTGCATCTCCCGTCATTGACGTGCTCGACTTCCTGGTAAGTAGCCTCAACGACCACATCCACGAGAGCCACCAAGATCTGCTGCTGCGGGAGTACCACTGGGAACTCAAGGAGACCTTGGAGCTGCTTGGACTTCAGGTAACGAGGGTTGGGGGTGGGGGCGGAGTGTTTGAGCATTGATTTCTTGATTGATTTTATAGCAAGTTGCAAAGATTTAAATTTTTCATGAATATCAAAGACCACGCAAAATAATATTGCTACCGCTTGAAATATATATTGGTGGTGCTAAACAGCATGTACTATTTCACCCGTACGTTCATGCAACATTACTCAAAAGATACTCAAAATATTCGAAAAACTGTACATAACCTTATTTTAAAATATATTTTTAAGGGACAGATTTCATTAACAGAAAAATATTTAACTTCAATATTTTATTTGTAGTAAGAGTTCGAAAAAGTTTGAACTTTTGCAAGTTTTTGAAAAATCAATCTTCAACGAATATGAGACCTGCACCATTCTCTTAAATGTCCTTCGCACTATCCACCCAAAAATTTTAATTAAAAACGATGGGTTCATTTTTTTAAAACTCGATAATTGTCCCTGGGGTTTCACGGAACTCCACCACAACAAATATTAAAATATTAGAGAAAAATTAAAAAAGGACGCGGCATCAGAAAGATTGATTAGGGAATATAAATTTAAGGGAAAACCGGCTCAACACTTTACCCGCTAGCGTTGTTCACAGGCAGACGATTTTCCGTCGTTCATTTTTTGATATCACGGACCCACAAAACTTGAATTCTGGCTACACCACGTGTTACTTCGTACAAGAGCTTTTCCAAATTTAGAAAATTGATTTATTCACTTTTTCGTTACCAGGACCCTGTATAATTTTTTCTGCCGAAAATTTCTTTTTTTTATACAGCAAACCATTATTTTCTCTGTACTGAGTAAGAGGTATCAAGAACGTAAAAAACACTCATGACAGACAGGCAATATAAGGGTTGACACATGTACTTGTCTGAAGCTCATTGGTTGAGCTAAGTACGATGCGCAAAGGCCCTCCCTTCTTAACTCCTCGGTTTAAGAGATGGTACATGTGCTTCCAGGCGCCGTCGCTGGAGGCGCTGCTGTCGGCCGTGGACGTCCACGGGCCGTGCTCGCTGTACGGAATGATTAGCAGGCCCGTCCTCAAGGCGGAGAAAGGGCTGGACGTCAGCGGAGTCTACGCCGGGGACCATTCCTGCCTGGTGCCCGTTTATGAGCAGCCCGATGTCAAGAAGTGGATGCAGCGCGTCTTACGGGAATACGTTCGCAAGGGTTGGCTGCCTGCATGAGTGCGTTCAGGTATTTGCGATCGCGATTTTGACTCACAATCCAGTGGACAGTGACAGTGAAAGTGAGCTCCCCGATGTCAAGAGGTGGATACAGCGCGTCTTACAGGAATACGTTCGCAAGGGTTGGCTGCCTGCATGAGTGCGTTTAGAAATGCGCGATCGCGATCTTGACTTACAATTCAGTGGACAGTTTCTAAATTAATATTTCGCAGATGAATTTGAAAAAAAATCAATTTTTTTCTACAGTTCAAAATAACTGTTTCCACAAACCAAATATTATCCAATACGAATACTGAAATATTTCAAACAATGATCATCAGGAGGTGAAGAAATGGATGGAACATGATCTACAGGACTACGTCCGCAAGAGTTGGCTGCCTGCTTGAATGCGTTCAGAAATTTGTGATCGCAACCTCAACTCACAATCCAGTTGACAAGTTTTTGTAATTAACATTCTTCATTGTGCAGTTGAACTTGATAATTTTTGGAATTATCTAAAGTTCAAATAATTGTCTCCCCACGGACAAATTATTCAACATTAGTATTTGAATAAAAGAAACGATGAACAAGAGAGGTCAAGAAATGATTGCAGTGCGTCTTACGGGACTACGTCCGCAGTGGTTGGCTGGCTGCTTAAGCCCATTCAGAAATAAAGAAATTAGTGATATTGACCTCTACTCATAATCCAGTGGATAATCCATTGATTGTAGTACCGCATACCGCAGACGAACTTGAACTTGATAAATTTTGTGAAACATCAAAATTAAAATAAAGGGTTCCCTTACATCAAAATATATAATTCAACAAATCTTCAGACCTGAGTCAGTTTTAAGCGTTCTTGACCCTATCCGAGGAAAACATTTCAAACAGAAATGTTTAGTCATTTTTGAGATTGTTATTTTCTTGCACTCAATTCGTAAGAAATAAAACGCATTGTAATGCGTTGGAAAACGGCGAATTTGCGACAGAAAAACCCATATTGCTGGCCCAAGGTAACAAAAAAGTAAACTAATCTTGTCCTGTATAGTATAGTAAATTTCTTACTCTAACACGTTTTCGGCCTGTATTCCTAAAATTCGGTTGACAGCAAAAGTATACCGTACCGTCTGTACGTCCGTGTCCAACGCTAGCGCCTAAACCGTTCTGCCGATTTCTCCGAAATTGGTATTCCCCGATCAATCTGAACGAACTGAAAGCTCTGTGAGTTCGAAAAGTATATTTGCATTTTGAATTTTGTTTACATGATTTACCGCCCGGATTAATTAAATTGGCAAACAAGTGTACAAATATGTATTTATAAAAGAATAAAGCAGTAGTTTGAAAAACAAACTTTTTTGAAGAATAAAATGTAGTAATCTGAAAAATAGAACTTGATTTACGTCGGAAATCCTACTTTACTTTTCAGAGAAAAATTCATGGAAATCAGTTCAGCCGTACCCGATATAACTCCACTCAGACAAAAGTATCATAATAACAATTGAATATTTCTGCAATGCACGTTTTGGCATAGAAAGTATTTTTTCAAACAAACTTTTGATTGCTTATTTCGGCTCGGTCATTCGGAATATCCAAGGAGATTGTTAGACAAAATGTCAATAAAATTATCTTAAGAACTTACTTTCGACTTTTCCTCCCCGAACACCCTATACATGTGCCGTTTCAGAACAACCACATTTTTGTTACTTCAGGCTTTCATTTTGCGCATACTCGACTGCAACATTTTTGCATAATACTGGAATAGTCATTTTGACACGTGTAAATACAAATAGTCGAGTTTTTTTTATCACTTTATTTTAGTGTCGCTCAACTAGCATTGTGACACATTATGGGTATAATTTAGTTACCGGTGAACTTTGTTCTCGATCAACATGACCAACTGCCTACTACGACGGTCAAATTAGGTGTAATTCCAATTTAGTGTCGGAAAGCTCTTGCGTTGTTTGGCGTTGGTTAGCATCTAGTTTTGGAAACCACCTTCTATGCAATGTACCAATTAGAGGATTAGATTTATTAATAACTCTGCAATTAAGTGTGAGAATTTGGTAGTACAATACACTAACTTAATATTACAGAACTTAACAATATATAAACTCTACAAACTTTACAAAATAACGTGCAATCGTTCATAGAACTCCACTTCACCAAACTTCACTTCACCGCACTGCACATAATAATGATGATGATGATGATAATAATAATAATAACAATAATAATAATAATAATAACAATAATAATAATAATAATAACAATAATAATAATAACAATATTAATAACAATAATAATACTTAATTACAAAGAATACAGAGTGAATTACACAGAATTTTATTAAATATGTTCATAACATATCTACATTCAAGAAACTAATTTATATTTAAATTTGCTTAGGCATTGGGGAAAGGGATCGAAGACTGTCGCAGGCAAACTGTTCCAGTCCCTAATAGTGCGATTCGCGAATGAATATTTCCCAACGTCCGTTTTCTGAATTCTTGTCTGAATTTTGTGCATGTGATCCGCTCTTCCGAAATATGTAGGTTTCCCTAATCGACTTTGAATTTCTTTCCACGCTCGAAGGCCTGTGTACGCTTTATACATTGCATAGAGACGTGACTTTAATCTTCTCCTTTCGAGTGACTCCCATACTCCTTTGTTCTTGGTACTCTTTATTCCCATTGTCCCAATGTTGGGACAAAATTCTACATTTTTTGTCTGAATTTTTTTTTTGTATTTTTCTAAGGTGGTAATCGTCTATCAACGCTTCCACCTTCAAGGACGTTTGGGACGATTACGTCTTATAAATCAACAATACAAAACCTTCATTTTCATTTTTCCTATTATATATAGAAAACGTCATTCATTATTAAATTTCATGATAAATTCATTAGTGGTTGGTTATTAGTGGGGCGGATTTCATTCAAATGTCATCTTTTGACTTCATTTTAGAACAACGCCGTTTAGTATAGAAATTCATTTTGTTAGAAAAAATCGATATGACCCATTTTTATGTCTTCTTTTTTTGGTATTTTTTCGTCGATTTCGATTTGTAAGTCATATTTTACCTTTTTAGGTCATTTTTAATGCATTTTTTGCTGATTTTATCGATTTTAGTATTGTGTTGATGGTACTTCATTCAAACAATATTTAGGAGGTGGAACAAATGTTCATCACACATTCCTGAGTAGCCTATTTAATTTCTTCGCTCATATATTGCAATGTCAGCCGTTGTGAGTACTATGTAATCTAAGGTTCCTATCAGCGGCATTGTTTGGCCGAATTCGCGATAGATAAAGGCTGAGATTTTCTTTTCAAGAACACTCCAAACCAAAAGTTTGCAGACTGAGTTCACTTGAGCAAAAGGAAGAATCCACGATTACATCAGTAACATACCCAACAGCTTGTTTATCTGAAGTGGTTTCTATCACATTTTTTACGTAATCTTTGTTTTTATGGAATTTTTAAAGCATTTTACGAGCATTTTATTGATAATTTTTGGCAATGTTTTTAGTCATTTAAGTCCGCCCCCTAGTTATTACTTATGTAGGTCGAAAAGTAATTCATGAATATGATTCATTAACATTAATTGCCGAATCTTTTACATGCTTCTTGTTTTGTTGCTATTTATGAGCACTTTTATTACCATTATAAAACAGATATTTAATCTACATATCAAATATTTAGATTTTTAGTAATATTCAGCTCTTCCCTAAAATATTGAAAAAACATTACTTTTATAATTACCCGTCGCCCCACCCCTGAGAAAGACGTAAAAGAAAATCACCGCTACGGAATTCCGAGAGGTCAGCCGCACGCAGGCATCTGCCTAAGAATACCACGTTTCCTTTTTCTCTCCCCCCCTCTCGCCCTCTTCAGGTTCACCCCACCGCTCCTTAACTGGAAATCCCCCCACAATCACACTCACATGTTCTTCCCAGCCCACTTCGCGACGCGGGCACATTCTAGAGGCGAACGGGGAAGACGCGTATGCTGTTTCACCCATCCAATGAAATTTCAAATTAAGCATTACCAACAAAATTGCAAGCAGAAAAATGAAGGGTTAAATGTATTTTGTGTGTTTAACTTATTTCCCATTTTATAAAAATGTTGATAGTTTCACTAGGCCTTAGGGTAAAGTGCGTTAGGTGCCTAAATCGTAAGTTCTTGCAAACATGTGTGAAAGCCCCTGCAAGACAAACGTATGAACAAGAAATCAATTAACAAAAAGTGCCCCAATGCAATTATAGAGGTTTGTTTTACTGCTTCCTGCTATTAGCACAGAGTTCATTGCATCCACTTCCGCGTCTAAAGGGCTAGCAGAACCTCTCGCAGTATCTACCGCTCCTTGGGATTAAGAGCACCTTTCCGTACCCATAACACAGCACATACATATCTCGGCTCTCTACATTTGCATATTTGTTGCTGCCCAACCCTGCTGTGCCATTTTTTGTGGCCTGCGAAAGGGTTTCAGTCAATCGTGAAAGTCCCTTTCCTCCATGTCGATCGAGAACATTGTGCGCCCAGCGCATGCGCCCTGCCGAGGCCAACTCCACGTTTAGTGTAAAAATTGGTTAAGTTTAGATTTAATGATTTTTTCTAGTAAATACAGCAATTCAAAATCATCCCAAAGTGTTGTAAATTTGTTGATTTCCCATCCCATTGTAGATTTCCTAATCATCCCAATGTACGCATGGTACGCATGCTACGCATGGTATGCATGGTATGGATGGTACGCATGGCACACATGGTACGCATGATATGCATGGTACGCATGGTACGCATGGTATGGATGGTATGCACAGTACGCATGATATGCATGGTATGCATGGTACGCATGATATGGATGGTATGGATGGTACGCATGGTATGCATGGTACGCATGGTATGCATGGTATGGATGGTATGCGTGATGTGATATCACGTATGGTTCCTTCACTCCCCCCCCCCCCCCATTTCAGAGCAGTCGGGTAAACTGCCGAGATCATCAATACGGAAAATCAGGCGTCATCGATCTAGTAGTGTCAATTTGGCCCGCAAACATATTAAACGTTGTAGATGTGACCCTTGGGACGTTACAAATTGGACACCTCTGCTCTATAGTATCTTCTTTTCTCTTTGGGGATGGTTCTAAAGTGCATTAAAACGAGAGGCGAATGTACGTACCTCTCCCCCAATACGTCACAATGTTAACGGTTTTTAGGATAAATATATCACAATCAAAATATGTTTGCTCAACTTGTTATGTAATCCTTATGCCCATCAACGTTATCGCTGAGAGAGACAATTGAGATAAGAAAGAACGAAGACAAAAGGAATCAAGGGCTATGACGAGAAAAAAGTAAATAAACGAGAGCAAAGCAAGACAACGACAAAGAAGAGAGCGCGAGAGACAAACACGAGATCGAGTGTGAAACAGGAGAACGAATATGAGAGAAACAAATGAACAACATATTTAGATAAACCACACAAGTAAGCAACAAAACGAGTCACAAACACACGAAAGACGCAAATATGTTAGAAACAAACTATAAAGACACACAAGACGGGGATTAATTGATTGATTCATTAATTGATATTTCCACACACCTCAACTGCTACCGCCATTAGTGCCGTTAGTGTAGTGAATGTTTATCCCCGAAGGTGTGGATATTACTCCCCACTGGTTGGTGATATCCGGCTCTGACCTACACGTCAACTTGCGAGGAATTTCCACTTCAAGGTGTCTCCACCTACGGGGCAACGCCCGCCCGGGACAAGCTCTAAGCGATAGACTGCCTTCCCGACATGTGTGGTAGTGTATTGCATGTAAATGTATATGTAAATAGGGGGCGAGGATACGACAAGGAAGGGGAAGGATAGATAGCCCTCTGTCCGTGGCCCGTTTGTTAGGATACTGCTCCGGCATTCGCCTTGGATTAAAATTACCGTTCAGAGCATCCGACCGCTAGAATTCTCCTCCAGATAGTGAGTCAATTCGAAATAGGTAGTGTCGAAAACACGTCATCTTCTGAAATCGAACCCTAGGACCTACCGGTGAGTGCCACTATAGATTCAGGGTCAGTGGACGACTCTCAGCTAAACTCAACCGACCGAGAGGGAGAAAGATAGGGAGGGAGGGAGAGAGAGGGAAAGAGGGAGAAAATGGGACAAAGAGGGAGGGAGAGAGGAAGAGGGAGAAACGGAGAGAGAGGGAGGGAGGGAGAGAAAGAGCGAGGGAGGAGAGAACTAGGGAGGGAGGGAGAGAAAGAGGGTAGGAGAGGGAAGGAGGGAGAGAAGGGGAGGGAGGGAGAGAAAGAGGGAGGGAGGGAGAGAGAGAGGGAGAGAGAGGGAAGGAAAGAGGGAGGGAGAGAGAGGGAGGGAGAGAGCGAGGGAGGGAGAGAGCGAGGGAGGGAGAGAGCGAGGGAGGGAGGCGAGAGGAGAGGCAGAGAGAAGGCTAGTCGAAGAACAAGGAAGAGACAACGAGAGTACAGAACTGCGCAGTCACTCTGGATGAGAGTGCTATCGTAAATCGTGACTCTCAAGGTCGCAGACTTCGCTTACGTCCAGAGGCGTAACATTACGCAATCAGAGCCATGCGCGTTCCCCGTATCTAGTACGCGATGACTGCCTTGCTCCGCGCAGTCGTAGCCAATCCACGCGGAGGTCTACGCATCCAACTTGACGAGGGGGGCGTCAGCAATCACTGCCAATCAGATTGCTCCAGCCCTCCTCCAAAGTCACTCAACGACCTCTCGTAACCACGTTTGAGCTACAGAGACACAGGGAACTGACAGCGACGGCAGTTGTGTTTTGATGGCGAATGCGATCTTTAGTGGTCGATAGTGAACTTGATTTGTTGCTAATATTTGGTTGGTCCGTTGACAAGTAAACAGAGTACAGCGCTGTTCTCATCTGGTGAGTAAATAAATATTTTATTTTAATTTTTAACTGATACGTTGTTTGAAATTGGCTTCGATACGTAGATCGATATTGGGTGCATATCTTACTTGGATAGAGAGAGAGGATCGTGATGACGAGGGAAATATGAAAACAGTTGAATGATGCTTCGTGTTCTCTTATGGAGAAAATTGTGACAGGGAATTATGGGAGGGAATTATGAAAAGACAAGCAGAGTCATCATCTGGTTAATTAGTAAGTAAGTAAATCTGAATCATTAAAACTTGATAAAAGTTAAATTATACGTGTACGGGGGTTAAGTGGTTCTAATGATCTCGGGCGGTAAATAGCCCTCGGGCATTTTGTCGCCGATTGATCATTACAACCCTTATAAAGCCCTTGATGCATAAATGACTGTATTTTTATTACGAGCGTTTGATCGATGATAATTCCCCATTTTAAGGTTTTTGAGAATCGGCATACAACGCATTCATTATGAGCATAATCCGAACTTTATATTATTGTTATAACCAGGCCTATTGGAATAATTAAATTATAAGGACGAAATAACTCATAAAATAAATATTAATACATTATACATTTAAATGTTTTTCAAAGAATAAGAATTAATTGCATTTACATAAACTATTTTAATTATCATAGAGGCCAATAATATGAAACCTACAAAATTACGTATTTTCTTCATTGAAGAAATTTTCAATATAAAAATTTGAAAACCAATAGATTATAATAGTTGTGCACTTGTAACACACAAAATACAAATTGTTCCATATATAACAGAAGAATAATAGTAATTATCGAAACGAGTGGATAGAAAAATAATATACAAAATAATGACTACAAAAATAATATCCAATATAGTATCAAAAAGGTTTATTATTTAACAAAAATCTATGATGTCCCCCCTCCCCCAATAATTGGCTGGATCTGTCTCTGGTGAACATGACGTATTAACTTCACCGTACATAGCTTACTTGGCCTGCCTGAGCATTTCTTTCGTTGCACGGCTATAGAAACTGAATTGTTGAAATACTGATGAGGTGTTGTTGACGTAATTAAAGAATGTAATAACTGAAGTCATGACCCCACAATTTCTCTCCTTCTCCTCACTTCTTGAGACATTTCCAAGAAGACCTAATTAGACCTTAAACGATGAAATAATTGACGTCATGACACCACAACCTGACCCCCACTCCTCCTGAGACATTTCTTAGAAGATATTAACCAGACCACCTCCGACCCGTCACCTCCAGCCGCAGAAACATATTTAAACCCATTTCAAATTCCCTCTGCGCACTGTATTCCGACTTTTGTCAAAGATAATCAAGCGACTTAGCTTATTCTGTTTCCCTTCGTGTAATTACAATTAATATTACTCTATTATTATTATTATTGTTATTATTAATATTAAAGTGTATCTATAGTAATTTCATTATTTGTATTAATTTTTTATTTTGTATTTTATTTAAATTATTTGGAGACAGATGACGGAAAAGACGTCAAAAGCCAGCTGTCTGAATGAATTAAGTTGCGATATTAACAACAACAACAACAACAATAATAATAATAATAATAATAATAATAATAATAATAATAATAATAATAATAATAATAAAGTGTGCCCCAGCTGACGGTTGCGACAGCCGTCGTCTCCGCCGATGAGGTTGCAGGTTCGAGTCCTACGTAGACATGGTCGTATTTCTGATTGTCCATTCACCCTTCATCATCCTGCCTTCTCATATTTCACACTTCAAGGCGTAACAACCTTGTAATGAGGGATACAGCTGAAAAGCTCATCCTGGAAAAATTACACACGTTAATTGTGTAGCGTGATTAGTAATGGCTTATGCAATAATAATAATAATAATAATAATAATAATAATAATAATAACAACAACAACAACAAGAAATAATGAAAGCTCAATGAAGGACCGGAACGTAGACATTTAGCATGGATATTGTTTCATTCATAAGTCCCTAAAACTCAGTAACTATCCCAATACTTTACATATTATTTAAAAATAAAATAATTCAACTAACATTGTTTGGAATTTTCCAGAAAGAAGCCAAGAAACGATTTAACGATGGTCGAAACCAAGCAAGCTCAGGAGCCACGAGGGGACACCCGTCCGCCGCCATCTTGGTTAAACAAGGAGCTGATTCAACAAGCGCTGCGCAACACCGGAGACAGCAACTCGCAGGTGGAAACATTTGACGTGAGCGTGCCTGTCGCCGCGGGCGACAACTACGGCAGTTCCATCTACCGAGCGAAGGCCACACTCACTGATGGGCAAGAGCGATCTTTCATTATTAAGGGCCCAGCTGCTGGAGCAGCGTTGTCCAGTGCGACAACGGAAGCCAGAACCTTTGAAAGAGAAGTCACGATGTTGGCGCAAGTCATTCCGCAGATGGAGGTAAATCGGGATGCGGGATCAAGGGAGGTGATGGAAAGAAACCTTTCTCCTCCCTAAACCTTGCTCATGCGCAGTCTGTGGGAGTTTTATAAACTTGTTCACCTATGTTTATTATCTGAATGATATTTCTGTCTACTTGACAGCTAGGCGTGGGGTAGAGCGATGTTGCCACTTATACCCGATTTAGACACAGCCTCATTTGAAGGTCCCGAGATGAACGGAGAGGGTAGACTCATCCAATCAGGAGCTTCGTTATGACTTACATTTTTGATATTGGAGCTCCCGATTGGATGACAGTGAGCCCTATCATTTCAGCTCGTGACCTTGGAATGAAGCTGTGTTTAAAAGTTAAAATATCGATATTCTCCATTCATGTCACGACTTATTCAACATAAACAAGTATGACCATAAACATGTTGCTTTGACACTAGCTGACTAATGAAACAACATAACACATTTATTCCTTTTAAATATTTGGAGTCGCTTAAAAAAATGGCGTTTAAATGACTCTTCTGTAAATTCGAAATTTAAAGCAATTTTCACAGATTTTTTTTAGTTTTCGAAAAACATCTTTGAAAGTCTTTTAAAGCAACTCCGTCTGGATAGACAGAGACAGACGGACGGACAGACAGACAGAGAGACAGACCGACGGACGGTCAGACAGACAGACAGACGAACAGACTTACGGAGAGCAGAGAGACAACTGGACGAACTTTTCGAGAAAAAAACCCACTTTTTTTGGCATCAGGGGACCCCAAAACATGTATTTCCGTTGAAATCTCGAAATGGATTTTTCGCACCATTTCATTACTTTCCCAATACTACGTAAAAGTACTCCATATATGCGTATGTATACGCAAAAGTAAAAAATTAATCGTCAGTTTTATTTACCAGCTGTGAAAAGAATTCGTGCAACACGTCTAAGTTAGAACAGAATAATCTATCTCCTTTCCAACATTAACACTTGTTCTTCTCTCATGCATTTCGTACGAAGTATTTTCTTATGTTTTGTTAGCTTCTTCTGATATTTCAACCGGAACACGTTAAGGTTTTTTCGATTTTCAATGTTTCTTATTCCTTATTTCAATCATAATTTTCTAAGACACTAAGGTGATCATTAATAAAGGTGGCAATTAATAAAGATATGATTGAATTTCTCAAAATTAAAATCAATCTTTAATGGGAACGAAAAAATAATGAACGTAACACGTGGATAAAGGGGTATAATTGCACTCTTGGTAAATAAGAAAACTCGCTCCTATCGTCTCTCGTTTTCTTGAACATAATACTCATGCAATTATACCTCTCTTTATCCACTCCTTTCATTAATTACTATAATAGTACATTAACGATTGTCAATAGCACATTATGTTCATGAAGAGTGTCGATAAATTGACCGATGTTTACACTGATCACTGTCAGGTTGACCGACGAAACGTAAATGGTCGTGTATTGTTGGCAGGCTCTGTTAGAAGAAGCAGCCCCCGGCCGGTTCCCACCATTGGCTCCACGTTGCTACCACCACGGCACCTCCCCCGTGGAGTTCCTGGTGATGGAGGACCTGGCCCCTCCCGGCTTCAAGCTGGCCGACCGGAAGCGGGGCCTGGGCCTGAGGCACAGCGTGCTCGCGCTTCGAACCCTGGCCCGCTTCCACGCCGCCTCGCACGCGCTCTTGCAGCGCCAACCGGAACTGGCGGAGACGCTTGACAACACGTGGAGGGCCATCGATAAGAGCATGAGGGTTTTCGTCAAGGGGCAGATCCAGGGGGCTGTCGAAGCCACCCGCTCGTGGCCTGGCTTTGAAGAGTGCGCCGACCGACTGGAGAAGTTCAAGGTATTGCTTCCGTTGTACTTACACTTTTTGAAATTGATTGATTATATTCATTGGTGTTTCCAGGGGCGTCAATACCTATAACCGTTAGTCTCTTTAGTAAAGTAAGCCGCGGAGATGGTGTAATGGTTAGCGTATCGGGCTGTTATATCCAAGTTGGCGGGTTCAAACCCGATCAAAGCCGTGGATTTTTAAGGGCGAAAAAATCCTTCGTACGTCTTCCTTCGGAGGGAAAGTAAAGCCGGCTGTCCCATGTTAGTAGATTTACTGCTAACGTAAAAGATCCTCAAGCCTAAATGACGCCTCTGAGTTAAATTCAAATCGTTGCCCAACACCGCCTTGCAGGCGCCTATCACTGCAGTGCCGCTGACCTCTGCCTAGGTTCGAGTCCCGACGGCAGTGGTAGAATTGTTGACACTACTTGCGGAGCTAGGTTGAGTGAAGCCGCTGACTGAAAGAGAACTCTAGTGGCCGACGTCTCTGATCGTTACGTTTCCGCGATCTCAATTGGGATATGGGAGCAGTACTCTTAACAGATGGGCGAACAACGCGATTTTAACCCCTTACTTTTTAACCTCTTACGTATACTAACATTCACTACACTACCACATATGACTGAAGATCGGTCGGTAGCTTAAGAACTTGTCCCGTCTGGGGCGGTGTTCTGCTAGAAATTGAGAAACCAAGGGTACGAGTAAACAACGAAAAAATTGGGGCAGTTTTTGAAACAATAGTTGTTTTATAATTTTCTATATATCAAGCAAAATTACGGGCGAACTACATATTTTTTGTGATTTTACAAAAATTGAAGAAATTGAAAAGTCAGGTAAAACCCTTTATCTTCAAAATTGTTGTTGTTAAAAAATATCTAAAATATTTTGAACTTATGCAATTTCCAAAAATTCAGGAATTTCAACGAAAAGGGAACTTTTCGTTTCGGTAGTCGAGGACAAAGTTAAATCAAAACATTTGTCGTCATTTTTAAGAACATGAAAATAGTTTTGGAGATTCTTGTAAAGTACATCTAAAATCAAAATATTCGTTTTAAACTTCCAGGACCTTGAGTCGTTTCAAATCGTTCGTGGAATATAATTTTCGTTTGTAATGTTTAGGCGGTAGTTCAGATGGACGGGCAGGGAATCTGAATGCAGATTTGGTTTGCTCTTGCTGGCAGTTACATCCCTGCAGAATTAAATTGTCATTTTTAAAGTGCTTTAATCCCAGGGATTATTAAACGAAAAAGTGTGAAAAAAGTATTCTCACATCAATCACATTTACGAAATATTTAATACAACCGAGAGCTTCAACTACTTTAAATACAGCACTATTAAAAATTTTGTCTAATATTGTAATTTACATAGTGTTTTGAATAATATTTTATTGCTGCCATTTAATACACATGAATTCAGTTGTGATTGCTTATTATTTTTGCAGGACGTCGCCATGGATATGTTTGCCCAGCTAAATGATCCGAAGGACGGGGCTTTCAACGTCATCACCCACGGAGACTACTGGGTTAACAACATGATGTTCAGCTATGAAGACCAAGCGGTGAAAGGACATCGAGCACTTGATTTGCAAGTGAGTGTTTTTGAAGTTTCCATTGAACATATTTCACTCCAATATAGTAGTGGCTGTTCGTGAGTTCGAAGATAATGAACTCCGTTAATAAATATGACCTAGTCAATGGCGATTCGAAACTTCCGTTACAGGTGAAGGTATCTTGGCACTTGGATCGTGGATAGTGGTAGGAATTCGCGGAGGTTGAAACGTATTTGTTTTTATTATGTTTGCTTTAAAGAAAAAGCACTGTCAATAAGTCCACTACCAACATCGTGAATCACAAAATTTGTAAACAAGAATCATCTGACCCGTACATTAAGACTAAGGGAAATAGAAAAAGGGGTTCATAGTCAATTTATTCATATAAGGGAGTTTGATGGCGGCAGCACGCACTGTAAGAGTAGAGATATGAGAGAACAATCGTCAGTGCTCATTAAGAGACAACCGATTGTAGAAAGCTATTAAACGTCCACCCACTTGAAAGGAGAGTCATCCAATCGGGAGCTTCAAAACTAAAAAGTTAAGTCGTACCATAGGTTCCGATTGAATGAGAGTTTTCTCCTCTCTTTCCAACTCCTGGCGTTGAATTGATTGATTGATTGGTGATTCAGAGCACGTCAACTACCGGGGTCATTAGTCCCGCAAGCATGTTTTTACTCGGGATGTGGCGGTGAAAGGTTTTTAGTCAAAACTTCAAAAGTCCTTTGCCCGACGTGGACACGTCGGGCGAGAGAAATGCTCGCCTAGCGCTCGCGCCCTGTCGGAGTCAACATCCCCTTAGTGTAATGTAGGTTCAGGTTTCGGTTTAACAACGTAAATTAAGAAATTCAAAGTAATCCCCATGTGTCTCACTGAGTAATTTATGCTACGGCCTGATATTACGCATGGTTTCCTTACCCCCTCCCCCGTTTCATAGCAGCCGGGCAGAGTGTCGAGATTAATAGGATAGCCGGTGTACTGAATATATGGCCCACAATTAATAATGGACTTTAGTTACTCGCGCTATGCCTTGTTACACCAGTATCCGCGTGGTGTACCAAACCCAAACCCAAACCCAAACCCAAACCCAACCCACCGCGTGGTACGCCAAACCTATTTTGTTAAAACAATTAATTCTGCAAGGTTTGAATAATATTTGGATATACTTTTATTTAGTTTTATTCGAAATGTGTACTAATTAAAATTTCAATTATATACTTTTAATAATAAATGTAGCATATTAGTCTTCAGAACCATTTTTGCATTAGATGACTTTTAGAACATGTTCGTTGCATGCAAAATTGTTTCACTAGTTACTAGAAGGTGTAGTAATAATTGTAGTAGTACGGTTTATTGCACTTCCGCAAATTTGACAGTCATTTCTTAATTCTGTTGGTGATTATTCTTGATCATCATGACTTCCGATGTTTGTAAATTTGCTGACAAGCGGTGTTTTATTCGACTTTGTTATCTTGTCTTTCTCAAGAAAAACATCTCTAAACTCTAAATCGCTGCTTGAATAAATCACTAACATAATAAACCTCAAAACACATGTCATGTTCACTCTCGGCCAGTACAACTTCTTCCTCACTAGCAGCATCGCAAAAATTTCGTCTTAAGACGATCCTCATGTAATTAGTCCTCATAATAGTTGATATATCTGTTTTTCCAATGAATTATTCATCTCTGTATTGTTCCTAATGTAAAACAACAATAAATTAGTTTAACTACACTAATAAACAAAAAAACTCCTGTGAAAATTGAAAGAAAATGAAAATTCACAGGTAATCACGCAGCCTAAAAAGTACGCCAACGGACACTTTCAAACAGAAATACAATCGTCTAGCCACTGCAGTAAATATTACACAACTGAGTATCTAGGAGGATGCAGGTGAATACCTTCTGCGAGGTTAGGTCTAATGTCAGAACGTGTGTTACTAATGTTATCTGACACCTACGACGTACGAAGTACGCCAGCGCGAGTAACTAAGGGTTAAAGGTTTTCGTTGTGGTCCTTGACGCTATGCAAGTTGGACAGTCATATTCTAGAGCTAGGCGGCAGGTAGCAGGTCGGACGCAGGCGGATGTTTTTCCACAGAGTGCCGAGTTCGATTTGAAATTGAGTCGCGCTCTCCGAAGCACGACCTTCCCAACAATCAGAACGGTATCAAATAAGCTTGACAGGTTGGTCGGGTGGGCACTCATATCCTGGATCAAATTTCTTCGACATTCCAGGTTTTCCAGTGAATTGATTTTGTATTTTTACTATATACTTTTTACTTATTTTGTAATATTTGTATTTTCTCACTACTTAATTGAAATATAAAACATAAACTAATAGATCAGATCTCTAATTTCCTCGTAGTACAAATTGACAGTGTTATCTCAAGTAAAAAATGAGCAAAAATAATGCTGTACTAATGTTTTAATGGAATAAAATCTTGGTTGATAGCCTTATCAAAATTTAACGATTTCTACCGACTCTTTTAAAAATTCTCTTACTTTTCCAGAGTAAAGAAATTCCTTATTTTTTCTCTTTTCCATGTTTTCCAGCAAGTGCTTTAATTTTTCGGCCTTTTTAACCATTTGACATGGATCCAGACAAATTAATTTCGATAATTGATGAACGTATGGAAGAATTACCATTCGGTTTCTGAAATTATGGTAGTAAGAAGAAGATAACAGATGATATGGTTTTTGATTGTTTCTGTCAAAAATGAACCAAACTATTAATAATTAGGAAAAAGAAGCTTTTTAAAAACGTATCTCGTGTTGTGTCATATATCTCCTATCAAACATGATTCGCAGCGCGGAGTTTTAAAATTTTTCCTTAAATTACTTATCGATTATAAGAACTGTATTGAAGACGAGTGTCTTCTGTCGTTAAATTCAGTTTGACTACTACTCTTCAGCAGAAGCCACACTCATGAGTACGAAATGTCCTTTGGTCAAACCCATTCCGACCGTACACTGAGAGTTTAACTAACATTTCACTTTGCAGACTCAAATTATTGATTAGCTGCTTTCGTTGTTTTATCGTAGTGTAAGATTAACGGACCCGTTTCTGCAGAGCTAATTTGTAGGCATTTTTCTAAAAGTCTATGTACTAGACCTAGTCAATAAATATTGTGTTTTGTGAAGTGTTAACGTTTTTGAAAAGAGGAATTTACATCACTTCGATTATCATATAACTTAACAGAATTAAAACAAAGTAAACAAAAGTTTTATAAAAGCGATTATTTTTTCCCTTCTTATCGTGAAGCGGTCGAAGAATGATTTCGGGAAAATGGACACGTAATAACATTAGAGTAGTTTGCTAGTAGAGTGGGAATTCAGGAGTAAATTCATGGTTGAAATACGGTACATTGGCCAATTACGTAGTAAAAGAAGAAAAGTAGGTCTTGAATCATGTTAGGACATAAGTGAAATATTTCACTCACTTTCTTGGCACACGTTTTGCAAAACGTTTGTATGATAATTCCATTGAAAAGCAGAATAAATGTGACTTTGTTCTGTTCCCTCCTCTGAAAAACCGTCACTGCTGTGCATCGAAGTACGAATAATTAAAATGAAAGTTCGTCACTTACCGTAAATACTGTGTGTCTGTGCTTTGTTGTAGTTGAAGCACCACTCCTTTTTACGACCACTTCCCCTGCAAATTTATTAGGAAGGCTTGAAATTTAATCGTTTATATCAGAAACCCTTCAAACGCCAAAATATAAAACACGCTTTAGCGACGGATAATTGTACAAGAAGGATAGGTACATCGTTTAGTGCATATTTATATGAAAAAAATACTTATTTATCAACTTCTTTAATAAAGAAAATATATTAAAATCGGAACAATTGGGAGACTTATTCTCAATTTTCTCGAACTGAGAAATTTGGGGTTTGACGGGTTTCTGAAATAAACGACTCAATTGACAGTTTGTCTAAAAACGAGTTTTATGACCCACAGATCGCGCACATGGCATCCCCGGCTATCGACCTCGTGTACTTCCTGACAAGTAGCCTCAACGACCACATCCACGAGCACCACCAAGATCTGCTGCTGCGGGAGTACCACTGCGAACTCAAGCAGACCTTGGAGCTCCTTGGACTTCAGGTAACGACCCCGAGTATTGATTTGTATTGATCTCTTGATTGATTTTATAACAGGTTGCAATGATTACACGTTCTCAAGAAGACAAAAGAAAGGTGACATCTCACACAGTTTACCTCACAGAGAAATATTTCAACGACTTGAAGCATATATAACAAAAGTAAACGATATAATGAATGGAAGCAATGATCTTTCTTCATGAATTTTATTGATTTTAAAGGTCCTTTCAACACGAATTTCGAAACAAGTCCATAAATACCAAATTTAAAGAACCAGCATTGTCTACTTTCATAGTGTAATGGCTTTAATAGCATGAATGGTTTGACTCAACTCTCAATAGACTACATTTCAATCAAATAAATATGCATAAATGCAATGTTCCTAAAAAAGAAAATTTTAAAGTGTACATTTCTCCAGCAAATCTCCAGTTACCAGAAACAATTATGGAGTATCAATGCCTCAGGACTAGTTAGCCAATGTTTGTGACGCGAATAAAAAACTTTTTTTTCTTGTTACTTCCTAACCTCCTCCACCCCATCCTTCCGAAATTTACTTTACTAATGCTAAAGTAAATTTTGGAGAGAATTATCAAAAAGCTACTCTCATGCCAGAAAATCAGTTTAAGGAGTGGATCTATGAATATTACTCGCGCAAGTTTTCTTGATATACAAGCTCCCTGGTCTTCACCCAGCGCTGAGTAGCACGGCACGTTGAGATACTTAGGTTCGACTCGGAACGGCACCTACCAATATACAATGCTGGCAACAAACACGTACTTTTAAAACAATCGTAACATTTCTCGTGGCACGCTTTGGCGAGTTAAGTTCATTCCCACAGTTGGTACGCTCTTTTAAGCAGTCACGTGGCCAGAGCCCTCCTCTCCCCGTCCCCCGCTGAGGAATATATAAAAAAAACACGCGCATATAGTGATATGGCGGTGGCATTACCAACCTCTGCCATTTTCCGCAAGTGAAGCCAAGAACGGGAGTCGTTCATCATATTGGTGTGCCTAAATCAGCTGTCAAACTCGATAATAAATGGGTCGTACCCATTTTTCAATGGAATTTAATAATCTTCATTATAAAAACGAAAAAAAATAATAATCTCCATTTCAAATTGTGGGAGTTACTATAAAGTGTTCCCATTGCGTGAACACCATAATAACCTAAAACTTACAACGTCAAGAGTATTACATTACTAAATGTGCTTCTTCTGCCTCTCAAATTTCTCACACGAAATCTCACAAAAAGTATGCAAATAAATGCGTAAAAACTAAAACACAGTTAACGATCTGAAGGAGTATGTGATGCACAAAGTATTACAGAATTACAGCTCTCAAAATATTTCAAGTCTAACTACAATACCTAATACATGGTTAAAATACAGCACATTGTCTTACTGTGGTGTTACTTTTTTATTTCACCATTTCCCTTCATAAGCATAACGTACTCATCCGAAGTCAAACGGGCAGGTCCTAAAGTTTTGAGTTTGTAAATGATCCAGTAATATAATTCTCAATCGCTTAAGGCGTATGCCGGGATGGTCCCTAGGTTTGTTCTCCCAGACGTAAATGTACAGCTTGTCATCCCCTCTTAAAATGTTACTATTCTAAATGTATGTAAATTTCAGTGGTTAGGCGGAAGAGCAGGCCCTATGGCCTGAGCCTCGCCATTAATAAAGACATTTTTATTATTATTATTATTATTATTATTATTATTATTATTATAATTCTGGTCAACAGTATGCAAAACATTAGAGTTTCTTTGTTGATGACGTCAAAAGTAATAATGTAAGTTATTCGTGAAAAGTAATTCACATCTCCCAAACAATTTGTACGGCAATGAGTCACACAATTAATAATGACGAACTGTTTCGAAAGCTTGTTCTTTTAGTCAAGTCTTTTAAATATTGAAAACTATGACAAATAATGTGTGTTACACATGCTACTAGTGTTTTGGGTACAGCAATATGGCCGATCATTGCTTTAAGTGGCTTCATGTTTGTGACGGTATTCCTAGCCATGGTGGAAATTCATGTGCGAGTACCTCTGGCGCACCGATTTTTGCTCGTTCTGCGCAACGCCAGTTTGCGTCACGAACTACGTACGCAGTACGGACACTTCGTTTGAAAAACCAGACCAAATGCTGGCCGCCATGTTGCACGGAGAACGAGAAGTGTTAAGAAACATTTTGAAAACGGTATAAAGTGACAATTTTCAACGATAACCAACGAAAAATAACACAATGAAGGTGTACATGATGCAATATTTAAAAGAAATGCATCATAAATCTGATTCAATGACTTGTAACGAGGTGATACTTTTGATATTACTCGCGCAACTTTTCTTGAACGATGACCTTGATCCCCCTCCCTTGTGCAATAAACAGTTGAAGGCAAAAGTTCGCAGCGGGCACTGATGACAACCTTCCAAGCATTAAAACTTCGTTGGCGCGAAACAGAAGCTAGTCAAAGGCAGTTGCTTTCATAGTGCAAAACTCCTGTTCTGATTTAGTGTCAATATCGAAAGAAATGTCTGAGTCAAGTCCAGTTAGTCAAGGAAGTCACCTAAAACTCCCGAAAAAGTTAAGCAGAAGATTTCAGTTTTGACTTTCATTTCACGGACGTTGGCATTACTTAAAATACTCTAGTGGCCGACTTTGTAACTAATACCCCCACTCCACCCGAAATCATCAATCCATCGTTCAAGAAAAGTTGCCCCAGTAATATCTGTCTGCCGTCTAAAACTCGCGCTAACATTGTCTCGAAAACTAGTGTCCGAAGCTTATTGGTTGTAGTCAAGTACGATGCGCAATGGCCCTCCCATCTTAGCTCCTCGGTTTAAGGGATGGTGCATGTGCTTCCAGGCGCCGCCGCTGGAGGCGCTGTTGTCGGCCGTGGACGTGCACGGACCGTTTTCGCTGTTCGTGGCGATGGGCAGACCCATTCTGAAGGCAGAGCACGGGCTGGATGTCAACGCAATCTTCAGCGGGGACCACTCGTGCCTGGTCCCCGTTTATGAGCTCCCCGAGGTCAAGACGTGGATGCAGCGCATTCTGCGGGACTACGTCCGCAGGGGTTGGCTGCCTGCATGATAGTGATGGCACCCGGAGGGCTCCCAACTGTTGATCGAACCGGTATTACGATTACTTTTCTGTCTGATTCGTTGAATCCTGGTTGAATCGTTTAAATCGTTCACCAGTTGTGGCGGTATCTGCGCTGTGATTAGTGGAACGCAGCTAACTAGGCGGCTCTTTCAAAAACTCGAGCAAATGGATATTAATGAATAATGTAATTAACATTTTAGAAATCATAAAATGTTTAGTACACCTTGAAAGGAACGAAGGCTTTATGGATCATTTAAATCATCAATATCATTCTTATGTCAATCTGGCCAAATTGCCCATTTGGAAATGCCCTTCCAAATGGATAAATAATAAATGCACAGAAGAAGTGGAATCATTGATTGAAAACGCGGGAAAATGTGGTGACAATGTACACCGAAAAAGAACTCTCAGACAGTATTTTCATAAAGCACATTCAGAGTGTAAAATAAATAATTTATTATGACGACTAAATACTTACAAAAACATTAACACATTAGCGCTCTAAATTCGTGTACAGGAGAAGGGCGAACTACTAAGTAATCAACCGATTCCAACGGTTGAAAAGCGGGAAAGAATCGTTGATTCATCCAATCACTCGTTGCCAACACTACTGCATGAGCGCGTTCAGACATTTACGATCGCGACCATGACTCACAATCTAGTGGACAGTTGTTTTTAACGAACATTCAGCAGTTGAACTTGAAAAATTTTCTGAATAAACCAAACCTGAAATGATTTGTTTACCCGAAAATAAATTATCCAATTCCAGAATTCGAATAAACCAACCGACGAACAAGAGGAGGTCAAGAAATGGATACAGCGTGTCCTTTGAGACTACGTCCGCAAAGGTTGGCTGCCTGCATGAGCGCGTTCAGAAATTTACGATCGCGACCGTGACTCAATATAGTGGTCAGTTGTTTTCAACGAACATTCTGCAGTTGAACTTGAAAAATTTTCTGAATAAACCAAACTCAAATGATTTGCTTCCCCGAAAATAAATTACGAGAATTTGAATAAACCAACCGACGAACAAGAGGAGGTCAAGAAATCGATACAGCGTATCCTTTGAGACTACGTCCGCTGGCTGCTAGCATGAGCGCGTTCAGAAATATATAATAACAATCCAGTAGAGAGTTTGTAATGAACATTCCGCAGTTGTTTTAGAAAAAGATTGTGAATTATCCAAAATTAAAATTCAGCGTTTTCCCCATGTCAAATCATTCCATACGAGCCTTCGAATAAAGCAAACGAGGATCAAGGATTCGATGCAGTGCATTCTCGGGGACCATGACCGCAGGACGAGCTAGCTGCTCGAGTGCGTTCAGGAATTCATAATAGCGATCTCTGCTCACAAGGTAGCAGACTGATTGTAATATATCGCGAAATCAAACCATATTCTCAAATATCAAATATCCAAGATTTAAATTAAGCACATCCCTGTATAGAAATTATCCAATATTTGAGTAGTCCAAACAGCGATCAAAACGACATAAATAAATGGGTACAGCGCATCCTGATAGATTACATTTTCAGGGGGTTGGCTGCCTGTTTGAGCACGTTCAAGAATTCGTCACCGGATGACTGTTTTCAGTATAGTGGGAAGTTGATATTGTACACATTTCACAGAAGAAAAACATTGTGAATAATTCAAATTAAGCATTTCAGAGAATCGCAGTTATCCAATATTTGAATAAATCAACAATCGCGACAAAAGAGCAGAAGTCAAGAAATGGATGTGGAACTACTAGGTATAGGGAAACTAAAAAATGGGAATTACCCTAAGTTCAAATTTAATTTTCCTAACACAAAATATTCAATGCTCGCGATTTTTACTGTGGAAATAACGGTTTTACCAAATAAAATTTAAAATTCATCAGTAATTTTACATATATAACTATATATTGTACATTCAATAATTATACATGTATAATTACTAAATTAATCACATAAAGGATGAACGATGTATTTAGAAATTTTTAAAAATGTGTTATCAATACCCACATTCATGTAGGTCTCAATTTAAAAAAAAACATTTATTAATGCTGATATAAATCACATGTGTTCAATATTTGGTACCTAAATTGTTGAATACTAATGTTATGTATTTTTTTAGTAATTAGGAATAAAAGAAATAATGTAAAATATTCAATTATTAATATTAAATAAATATTAAATCAATTTTATTATTTATAATTCTCAATATATTATTTTATACATATAGTACTATATTTTATAATTTATATAGTCCTAAAGAATTTAAAATTGCTTAAAGTTTAAATATTTTGCAGTGAAACTTATGCCCCATTTGGTTAACACCTAGTTAACTATATGATAATTTAGTAAATATTTCTTTGTGATGATTAGACTAGCACCAATTCACAGATACTTCGTTTTTCAGTTTCAAATTTTTAATAAATACAAACTGCTACTGTGCACTTTGTTAGTAGGTTAATCTGTGGAATTTGTGAATGAAAACCATCTGACATTATTAAATATTAATGTTCCCATACTTTGTATTTCTTTTTTGTTATCTTGTATCAAAAAATTGAGAAATGTCGATGAAACATACTGAAAAAGATTTTTATTATAAATCTATTATTTCAAAAATAGTGATACTCCAACAGCACATTCATATTAGTATACAATTTTATAATATTACCCATATTAAACATTATATAATTGTTAGGTAAAATATGAATTTGTTCACACAATGTTCAAATTCATTGCATTATTTAATATGATTTTTAAGGTCTCTGAAAGCAATCAAGGAAATCTTTTGGTTTCATTATCTAACATACAGGCATAATTGAAATATTATTATTATTGAAATTATAATATTTTAGCAAATGTTTATTGTATTCATTAAATTGGTTTTGTAGACAAAATTTCTGTAAATATTTGTCATATTTTATAAAAAATAATTTGTACATTTTAATCTTTATATTTTAGTTCTTAAATGTACCTGAGGATGGTAACACACTTGGTTTTCCAAAACCTGGTAACTTGAAGACATAAAATACAATTTTTTTAAATGAATGAAATAAAAGTCATACTAAGTTATTATAAGTTATTACTAAGTTATTGTAAATGTCAATTACAATAAATTAGTAATTTATATTGACAGTATTACAGATTTATGAAAATTAACTATGTGATCATAAGACTATATGATGTGTGAATGTAAATTAATATAGAGCCACAAACAGAAGAGAGTATTTAGAATGAAAGCAAAAATAAGATTCTGAAGTTTTATTTTTATTAAAGTATTTTAATTATTTCTTTTTTAAATACACCTATTTAATTTATTTAAATAAATTTCCAAAATAAATGTCTAAAAACCTTAAAATTTACAGTTTTCCAAATACAAATGTATTTAAAATACTCATATCAAATACAAGCATTTAAGTTCTGTCCAACCCTGACCTCCAGATCACTCTCAGGTTTCTTGTCTTTCTGAGGCCGACTGTCGCTGCGGTGATAAGTGAAAGTGGCCGTGGCTAATGCTGGAAAACTGGACATCACATAACGCTTCCTAGTAAACAGATTGCTTTGGCGGGCAGGATGTGAAGAACAAGGAAAGTTTCGCTGACAAGTTAACTTCGGGCACACACACACACACACAAGCAAATGACCTACGTCGGCTCTTCTCCAAACATTTCAAGGAAAAGGACATACATTGACACACGTGAAACAGCACGACCAGGAAATAGCAATAATTCGAATTAATAAAGTGAATATTGGTTTATTGGTGAAATGTATCTGCATAATACGTATAATGATACAAAGTAATGATTTTGCCAACATTTGTTTTCATATTTTACTGCTTTCGAAAGCTTAAGAATCACAATTATCATTGTCGTCTCTATCATTAATAATATTAATTTTCTTAATATTAAACCTAAGCAGTTAACATGAAAGTTAAAGAAAAAATTCTAAGCCATTTTTGAGAAAATTTTGAATCTGTCTCTAGAGCTTCATAAAGTACTCCAAAACTTTAAAGAATGTTTTTCAAAATTGCAGCGCTTTGAGTGGAACCAGATCGATTGGGGAATATCCAACCATTTTGGAAAAAAATCTACCTATCGTTTTGGCGCTAGGGATGTTCACAAACGGACTCACAGCGGACGGACTTTTGAAACAACAACAACAACAACAACAACAACAAAAACTTTTTGGTTGACAGGGAACCCCAAAACGTCAATTTCCGATGAAATCTAGAAATCGATTTGCTGCAGCATTACATAACTTTCTCTATGTTACGTATATTACTCCGTATACGAGAAAGTAAAAATATATTTAATGTTGACATTTCGTTCTCGTAAAATATATTTTTTTAAATTTAATTATTTTCACTAATAACTAACTGCAAATAAATTATCTGGAATACAAAGAATGAGGCAATAAGAAAATTCTAAGACATGAGCAGCAAAAGTAGAAGAAGAATGACTGTTAAGAGATATTGAATGTTAGAGAAGTTCTTCGCGTTATGTAAACATGTACGTAAGAGATTGGAGTTCGCGAACCCAATGATTACGACTTAACTTTTCTGTGAATGGATCCAGTAGTACACAAAATTCAACAATCTTTTAAACATAAACTGTTGTTAAGTTATCCGTGGCAAATTTCTTCTGAAAACACATGCAAACATAACATATTCCAACTTCTTTGCTTCCACTTTCATGGTGATGATGGATAAAAATTTAAAGAAATAAATTGGAGTTTTTTTATAAAATTCATTATACATTATTTTTTATTAATTACATTCCTTTCAAGCAGAAATTACGCAATGGTTCGTTTTATCAAAATGTGAATATTACTAACTTCGTTTGTTATCGTACTTTATGTGCTGAACTTCAATGATTCTTAATAAAATCTTAATGAATTCTCGTGTATCAAATATTGTTTCATCATATTAACAGTTATTTACTAATTTTAAAAGTTTGTCTTCGCTTTTGAGGCGAATGTGTGGTATAGAACTGTGCCGACCGTGATTACACACCTCTCTTCTTCCTTTCTATCCACTTTTTACCTTTTATTTATTTAACGTCAAAAGCAGTTAAAAAGTGTGTGACGTACTATGAGAAGAAGTGTATTCTATGCATGTATTTTTAAATTCTAGGATACCTACCCTAATTTATAAACAAGTTGTATTCTGAATAGAGATAGAAATGAGTACTTTTGGAAGAACTGATAAGAAAATATTATCTCCAGTTTAATAAAAATATTTCTAAACGAAAATCAGCTTCACATTTTGCCTAGTATCCCTTATCACGTGTGAAGGAATCGACTTCTAGCTGCGAGAATACATAGAATGAATATATGTCTGGTATCTAGAATACGTACTTATTCCAAAGAAAACGTGTTAATCACAGTAAATCATGAGTCTGA